ACTACATCCCAGACTTGTTTTTTTGGTTTTTTTTTTTCTTTATGTCTTTTTATCGGTACTGGGGATCGAACTCACGACCACCTGCTTGCTAGGCAGGTGCTTATGCCGCTGAGCTAAATTCCCAGGCCCCCAGACCTGTTTTGAGACATAGTCTCTCTGAGTTGACCAGGATGGCCTTGAACTCGAAGAACCTCTCCTGCATCAGCCTTCTGAGTAGCTGGGTTTACAGATAATATGTTGTGATGCCTGGTGCAAATACATATTTGTTTATTTTTGTTTTTTGAGACAGGTTTTTTGAAACAGTGTAATGTAGTACAGATTGGCCTTAAACTCACTACATAGCCCGGCTGGCCTCGAATTTACAGTGATCTTCCTGTCTCAAGTCTTCTAAGTACTGGGAATACAGGTGTGTGCTATCACTCCTGGCTTTTAATTATGAACAAAGCAGACTAGGGAAAAGCTCACGGGGCTCCTACTTCCAAAGTGCAATAGAAGACCCTTATTGTTGGAAATCACCTTCATGATAAATCTCTCTCCTCTTAAAAGCAGGAATGTAGAAAAAAAAAAAAAAAAAAAGAATGACAAGGGGCTGGGGATTTAGCTCAGTGGCATAAGCGCCTGCCTTGCAAGCAGGCAGCCGTGAGTTCAATTCCCGGTACCAAGAAAAAGACAGGAAAAAAAAAAAAAAGCAGGAATGTATTGCATATTCTTCTTTTTTTTTTTTTGGTACTGTAGATCAAACTCACAACCTCACACATGCCAGGCAGGCATTTGTGCCACTGAGCTAAATACCTAGCCCTTGCTTAATTCTTAAATCAACCTCTACTCAATACTATAAGTTCAGGGTCACTAAGCTCCATTTTTACAGGTGTCACTTAAATCCAAGACTGAATTCCTAGAGGATTTATATGACAGGAAACTCCTGAGTTCCCTAAATTCTTATTAGACTCTTCAAAAAGAGCGTATCATTCTCAAATCCCAAACACTAGTCTCAAAAGATTTGTACCTAGCAGTGCTTTCTTAAAACAAGTACAGAGTCCTTAGGAGCCAATAATTTTCACAGTTCCAGCTTCAGTATTTCATGACTTTCACTCTAATTGGCCCAGTTATCAAAATATCTGCTCAAAAGTCTGCCTCACAGCAAAAGACAGTCCTCTCCTGTAGTTCAAGGAGCTCAAAAGAAATTTTACCAATATTTTTCTCACAGATGCCCTGCAGACCTTAATTACCTCTTAAGAAATGTCATATTATCTCCTTGATTAGAAAAATATAAAGAACTATATATGCTTGTTAAATACTAACATAATTTAGAACAAAAAAATAGAGAAGCATTTTAGTTAATTGAACAACTGTTGCCCAAAGCAGAAAGAACCCGATAATTATTTTTATTTATGAACACACACACAGAACTCTCTAACTAAATGTCTATAATCTTTGAAAACTGACTCTATTAGGATATTTAAGTAAAAAGCACAATGACTCTGGAAGCTTTTTTATTTTGTGTTTGTTTGCATTACTGAGGACTGAACCCAGGTCCTTCTCACTGAGCTGCAATCCCTAGTTGTTTTCTAATTTTTTTGTTTTTGAGACAGGGTATCAGTAAGTTACTAAATTGCCCAGGTGGGGGTGGAGACACAGATTAGTAGATTTCTTGCCTAGCATGCGCAAAGCCTAGGTTCAGCTTCCAGCACCAAAACCAAACCAAACCAAAACACTAAAAATTGCCCAAGTTGGGCTTGAACTTGTGATCCTTTTGCTTGAACCTACCAGAGTCCACAGATTCAAGCATAGGCCACCACACACCTGGCTATGATGTTTTATTTAGGAGTGTGGAACAGAAGTACATAAAATTATGGTCAACTTAGCATTTCATATAGATGAGGGAAAGGACTGATTGCTCCATAAGGACTGCTAAATTAACTCATCACTGAAAGAAGAAAGAGAAACTACTTCATATCTTTGGTTTTTTTCCCTCTTTTTGGTCCTGGAAATTAAACACACATTAAGTCCTTATATTTAAACAAAAATCAGATAACATATTCAAATGTAAATCTAAATCATGCAGAAAAATTGCAAATGAAAAAATTATGTTTCTAAGCATGTTACTAAAAGTCAGAATACAAAATCTGACCAGCTAACATACACAAAATCTGTACAAATTAGGAAACCTCATAAAACAAGGTTTAAATAAATATGACAAAGTGGGAAGACATTTGCAATACATACACTGGGAAAAAAGCCCGTATAATAGAATACAAAAAAGCTGGGACCACAGTACACACAATAAATTCATTGTTTTTTTGTTTTGTTTTGTTTTGTTTTGTTTTGTTTTGTTTTGAGACAGGGTCTCAACATGTATTTCAAGCTGGCATTAAATTAACTATGTAGCTCAGACTAGTCTCAGTTTCCTGAGTGCTGGGATTACAGACATGTGCCACCATGCCTGGAATAAATGTCAACTATTGCTACTGGTACAATTTTTTAAAAACACAAAATCCTAATTTTTAAAAATAGACCTATGACAAATGAGTAAACAAAAGAAGCCAAACTAACAAGCAAAAGTGAGGTGAGATGCTGCAGACCTGTATTCCCAGCTATTCAGGAGGCCAAGACAGAAGGATGAAAGGTTTGACACTAGCTTGGGTGATTTAGCAAGAGCCTGTGTCACAGTAAAAAAAATAAATGGCCAGGCTGGGCATGGTGGAATGTACCTGTAATCTTAACATTTAGGTGGTTGAGGGAAGAGGACTGCTTCAAGTTCAAGGCCAGCCTGGGCTACATGGTGAGTTCAGTCTGAACTATCTAGCAAGATACTGCAAATAACAACAACCAAAAAAATCCAAGTACATTGGTTCATGCCTGTAACCTCAGCAGTCTGGGAGGCTGAGATAGGAGGATTGAGTCCAGTGTGGGAAACTGAGCAACTTAGTAAGAATGTGTCTCAAGGGCTGGGGATTTAGCTCAGCGGCATAAGCGCCTGCCTTGCAAGCAGGCAGTCGTGAGTTCGATCCCCTGTACCCATAAAAAAAGGAAAAAGCCAAAAAAAAAAAAAAAAAAAGAATGTGTCTCAAAGAATAAAAAAGTGCTGCAGCTACACCTCAGTGTAAAGCCCCTAATGCACCATACTGGTAGAAAAAGAGACAGACAGACTAACAGACAAATATAAGAGTGCACATTTGTAATCCCAGAATGTAGGAGGCTGAGGCTGCAGGACTGCTGCAAATTTGAGGCCAGCACAAACAACTTGGCAAGAGCTTGCCTGGAGAAAAAAAAAGGAAAACAAAAAAAGGCCTGAGGATGTATCTTAGCTCAGTGATGGAGTGCTTACTTAGCTTATGTGAGGGTGTGTGGCTTGTACCACACACCCACAAAAGAACATAGGCAAAAATACACACATGTAGATCACAGAAGCACTGTTCGCAAGAGCCAAGAAATGGAAACTGTCCACAAATTAATGGATAAACGAAATGTGGAAACTGAGGTTTATTGTAGAGTCCAGTGATAGAAAACTTCCCTTAGTTCAGAGACTTTTTTTTTTTCCAGTACCAGAGATCGAACTCATGACCGCATGCTTGCAAGGTAGGCACTCCTGCCACTGAGCTAAATCCCCAGCCCCAATACTTTCCTTAGTGTGGGTCACACTCTAGGTTTATCAACAGCATGACAAGTAAAAAAAAGTAGGATCGCATACAACACTGTATTATTCAGCCTTAAAAAAAAATTCTGGCATCTGTAACAACATGCATGAATCTTGAAGTTATGCTAGGTGAAATAAACCAGTCAAGGAATGACAAATACATTATTTCACTTATATGGGATATCTATCTAGTGTCAAACTCATAAAAACATAAAATAGAATGGTGGTGGCCAGGGACTGATACAGGAGCCATACTGAAAGTTTCAATACAGAATGATGATGAAAATTATATTATAAAATCAAGTCCACAGTGAGAGGGCACTAATAACATCTAATTCTACAGCTACACAGAGTCCATTAGGTTTTTTTTTTTTTGCTTTTTTTTTTTTTTTTTTTTTTTTTTTGTCTTTTTCGTTTTTATCGGTACCAGGGATCGAACTCACGACTGCCAGCTTGCAAGGCAGGCGCTTATGCTGCTGAGCTAAATCCCCAGCCCCGTCCATTAAGTTCTTAACATTACACTGCTGATGACACAAAACTCCAAACATGATCATTTCCATTGAGTCTGACCAAACACTTCCCCTTTCTCCAAGAACCTGGTTGCCCTCTGTGTGATTCTCACCAAAAGAGAATGTTAATGTAATGTAAATGTTAAGCCACATTCATATAGAAACCACATTTCAATCAGTCCTATCACACGTTCTTTGACCCACTAAATGAGGTAGAAACGTTTCTGCCTTTCTCCTGCTTGCAGGAAGGTCACACAATGTGGAGATAGCACGGAGACGGTAAAGAAGGATTCTAGGGAGCCCAGCATGGTGACTGTAATCACAGTTACCAAGGCCGACGGAGGATTTCAAGTTCCAGGACAAATTTGCCAGATCCTGTCTTTACTAACTAAAAATAAGTAGTCTAGTATTGAATTTTGGCTTCTAGAAAACTATGCTCTGAAATCAGGAAGTTGGGGAAAGGAGCCTCTGATAGAAGCAGGATTTGCTACAGTGCTCCACGCGAGTCCTTGCAGTCCTCAGGACTCAAGGGGCTCTGACTTGCAATGTTTCAGTACTTTTCAGCAGGGAAGAAAGCTCAGAGTTAAGAACATTCACCCAAGAGTAGAGAGGGAGGGAGCCATTCCCCTAAAGCCATCAAGCTGCCCAGGCCAGGAAGCACTGAAGACACCTTGCAAAACCCCTCCCAGATCCCAGCGAGCCAGCCGAACCCCAAAGCCGCACATTTGCAAAGCGCTCACTTGCTGGTTCCAAGGCACCTCCCCCACTCTGCACCTCAACAGGAAAGAGTCCAGCCCTCAACTCTCAGGACTCGGGAACCCAGGGCACACCCCGTAGGGTGGTTCCTTGCTTACTTTGCCAGCTGCTTCTCCAGTGAGGCCTGCTGTGAAGCAGAGAGGGTACAGGTAGCCTCCACGCCGCAGGCTGGTGGCAGAAAACGTGTGGGTGGGTGCGGGGGGCTGGGCGTTAACGGCCCTCGTGGCTGGGAATGGCGGGCTATGAGGGTTGTCCCACAATCCCTCGCGAGAGCTGGAAGGGGGCGGGAAGGTGAGGGGATGGTTGGCGAGAAGAGCCAAGAGAGTGGAACTCTAGTGGGCATGGTGGCATATGTCTGTAATCCCAGCACTGGTAGGGGTTAGGGGTGAAACAGAATGGGAAATTTGAGAGCAGCCTGGGTTGTCGAGTTCGATATCAACCTGCCAATTTAATGAGATCTTGTCTCAAAAAGAGAGAGGATGCCAGGATGTGGTCGCACACACCTGTAATCCCACCACTTGGGAGGCTGAGGCAGGAAGACTGCTACGAGTTGGAGGCCACTATGGGAAACATAGTGAGTTCAAGGCCAGCCTAAACTACATAGTGAGACTCAAAGAGAAAGAGACAGAGAGAGAGAGATGTAGTTTAATCCTTACATGTTGGTTTCCTGGATTTTTTGCACACGAAGGAAAAAAAAAGGTAACTGGTATATATTTTTTTTTCACTATGCTCACTCAGGGGGCACCTACCTAACAGTGACTCTCAGGCTCCCACGCAACGGGCCAACGCAGAGACAAGGAATTTGTGTCTGGCCTGGCTCTCCATTGTACGGTCTTTATCTACCTTTTTACTCTCCAGATGTACTATTTTCTTCCAACCCTTAGAAGAACACTGCACATTGTCTGTATGAACATTTTTTTCTTACCCTTATGAAAACCCAGAGTTTTGCATCTAGCTACATTCCCAGTCCTTTTTATTTTGAGATAGCGCCTCGATCCTTCTGACTCTGCCACCATCTCTGGCACAATGCACAAGACCCTGAACAGGCAAATCCCAGATAGCATCTTTTTTTTTTTTTTTTTTTTTTTTTGGTATCAGGGATTGAACTCAGGACCTTGCAAGGCAGGCGCTTATGCCGCTGAGCTAAATCTCCGGCCCTCCCAGATAGCATTTTTTTTTTCCAGACAGCATTTTAAGGAATCACAAGGGAAACAGCCAAATCCTGACAACATAATGACTTCCACAGTAGCAAAGCCGACTGGAGGCTCGCCCCGCCCTCTCCACCTTACGTCTGACGTCACAGCGCGCGGGCCTGAAGGGTTTGACCCGCTGGGTTTTGATGAGCCAGGCTCTGCGCAGCTGTGTAAATGCGCGCGGCGTTTGAAATGCAGCGGGATTTGGTGTGTTTCCCGCTATGTCCAGCGGTGCGGGTGAAGCTGGTGTCTGCGGGTTTCCAGAGTGCCGAGGAACTCCTAGAGGCGAAACCCTCCGAACTCAGCAAAGGTAACGACTCCCGAGGGCGAGTGGAGGCATGTTTTCCCGCCTTAAGCTGGCTGCCGCCTCTCACGGCCGCGTTAACCACCGGAAACGGGTTTTGATCCCACTTAATAGTTGTCTGGTCTGGTGCCATGGTGCACGCCTGTAATCTCAGGTAATTAGGAACCTGAAGCAGGACGAAGGTGAGCTCCGGGCAATGTAGCAAGACCCTGCCTCCAGAAAAAAGGAGAAGAAAATTGCAAAACATTTATTTGCAAATTGCTTTCTTTGCCCCCGTGCCTGCTGAATTGCTTTCAGTATCGTCTGGTTTACATTAAAACAAAATCCTTTTATTAGATTATTATGCTCACTATATAGTTGAGCGAACCGATCTGCTTGAGAAAGATATGTAACTTCATGAAAGTGGCATCTTGTGGTACTGGAATTGGGAAGCTGATTGTGTATTTTTCGGTGTTCCAAGAACCAAGAGAGTGGGGAATTAAATGCCAGAAAGGAAGAATTCGTGTGGGATCAAGGACACTAAAAGACAGAGACCATTACTTTAGACCTGAAAAAACAGTAGCAAGACCCTGCCCCCTTCTGAGAGGTAACAGGGTTTGAAGCTAAGGACCTTTTACCACTGCACATGTCCTCAGCCCCACTTACAGACTGGATTTCTGTAAGTGGTCCCGGCTGGCCTTGAATTTGGGATGCTTCTGCCTTAACCTCCAGAGTATTTACACTCCACTTTTCTGATGTAATTCACTGAAAAGCCCCAAACCTCATTTTCCAGACCATGGAAGATTATTTGTTGGTTGAACCGTTACATCCTGAGGCACACTAAAATAATGGTAGTTGTGGTATGACCAGGCAGGCCTGTGCTGTTCACTAAAGAAAATAGAAAGGTATTTTAGATTTTTTTTTTTTCTTTTGCACTGCTGAGGCGGAACCTAAGGCCTCGTACATCCTATGAAGACAAACCGTTAGTGTGCTAGACTTAAATCTCTAAAATCAATGTTGTTATTTCTTATTTTACTTTCAGAAGTTGGGATATCTAAAGAGGAAGCCTTAGAAACTCTGCAAATTTTAAGAAGAGAATGCCTCACAAATAAACCAAGGAATGATAGTACACCTGATACTTCATGCAGAACATATACAGCCCTGGACCTTCTTGAACAAGAGCACACCCAAGGCTTCATAGTTACTTTCTGTTCAGCACTAGATGATATTCTTGGGGGTGGCATACCCTTAATGAAAACAACAGAAATTTGTGGTGCCCCAGGTGTTGGAAAAACACAATTATGGTAAAATAAGATATTCCTGTCTTGAGGGTGGGCTTAATAGCATTTTATGTAAGATTGTGCTTTGGGTTTATAGTCAGCAAGAAGGTTTATATGTCTTTTAGTTGTATGTGCATCTAACAAAACCAACTGCTTAACAAAAATGTTTCTTTTGCAGTGTCATACTGTGGTCACTAGGGTAAGGTAGTCTTAACTTTAATTCTACCATTTGAAAGATTTATACATGATAAGAAAGGATTCTGTTTCCAGAAGCTTAAAAAACACAGAAAATCCTTAATCTTGGTTTCTGGATACATCATCCCTTCTATCCCAGAATCAGTTGGTTCACATCTGAAGGCATCATCCGTCTGTATTGTCTTCCATAACATATTTGCATTTATAAGCACTTTTAGAAGTAAAAGTGATCTTTTAAAACCTCACTGATCATTATCTGAGTTTGAAAAACACTGCCTTAGGTGGCTGGGGATGTAGATCAGTGAATGCTTGCCTAGCATACAGAAGGCCTAAATTCAATTCTTGGTAACACATACACACAAAATAAGTAAAACACACTGTCTTAGTTGATGGTGATAATCATTTGACTTGTTCCTTGACAGTATGCAATTAGCAGTAACTGTGCAGATACCAGAATGTTTTGGAGGAGTGGCAGGCGAAGCCGTTTTCATTGATACAGAGGGAAGTTTTATGGTTGACAGAATGGTAGACCTTGCTACGGCCTGCATTCAACATCTTCAGCTTATAGCAGGAATACACATGGACCAGGGTAAGTTAACAGGTATTCTCCTTTTTCCTCATATAACAAAGATAATTTGTGTCTGTGCCCATATTATATCTCAAGTTACATGTGCTCATGTTATATATAGTAAAAGACTATTAATGAAACTCATTCACTTAACATTGTATTAGTGTTAAGTTATTATACTTCTGTTACAAAAGGAGAAATGTCACAGCCTGAACTGGGCTGTTCTTCTTTAGTCTTCATGTCTTACTGCAATACCTTTGGGACAAAACCTTTATCTGTACTAAAGTGTGTGATATCAGATTACCATATTCCAAGTTGATAATGTGTACATGTGTAATAAGTCAATGCTGATAAGTACATTCAGTGTATATTGACTTCTGTATTGTGTTTTCTAAAAAAGAAAAATGGCTTTCAAAACCACACTAGAAGTGTTTAGAATTTCAAGATGATTGACATTTTGTGGTTTTGAATAGTGTGTGATTTACTTCATAGCTTCATTGCTTTGGGTTTTGAAAATTGGTTTTTGGTGCTTGATATATAGAAATAATTATAAAACATTGAAAGATTTATTTTTCCTCCATACAAGAGATTGAGTTCTACCACTGAGCTATATCAGCCCTATTTTCATTTTTGAAATTTTGAGACCAGGCCTTGTGAAATTGTTAAGTTGCCGAGGATATCTTGAATTTAGTGATCCTGCTGTTTCAACCTCTCAGAGTGCTGGAAGATGGCCTGGCTAAAACATATTTTTAAAAAGACAAATTGCAGGGCAGGGGATTTAGCTCAGTGGAATAAGTGCCTTGCCTGGCAAGGGCGAGGTCATGAGTTCCATCTCTGGTGCCAAAAAAAACCAAAAACCAGACAATTTATGTTCAAGTTCTTGTCCTTGCAATTATCTATCAAAGTAGATGGCTTATATTTTGAGTATTTGCTTTATTACGTTTTCTTTTATTATTTTTTTGTACTACTGGGAGCAAACCCAGGGTCTTTGTCCTGAGCTGCCATCCCCTGATCCTACTTAGTATTCTTACTTCAAAACAGTATCTTCCTAAGTTGCCTAGGCTGGGTTCAAACTCACTCAGATGATAGAGTGGTACTGATGTGTACCACTGTATCTGATATCTGTACATTTTACATTTCAGTAATTAATTGTTTTTTCTCTGAAATGTGTGCAAAGCCAAATTCATTATTTTTTCATCCAATCTAAGCATTTTATATCATTGTTTCTACTTAAATACTATATGCCATTCAAGGGAAAAATGTTCATTTGAGTGTTTTTCCTTTTAACTCTTAATTTCTAGTCTTATTAAAAATTATAAGAAAAACTTCTTTATGTTTCTTCTCCTAGACTCCTTTAACTAAAGATATGAAAAGTTAGTCATTAAGGTACTAGTTAGGTTAGACATGGTGATACGTGCCTGTAATCTAAGCCTCTAGGAACTAGGTAGTTTAACAAGACCCAATCTGAAAACAAAAAAGCGAAACAGAGAACTGGTTTCTTATGTGAATTAACAATTCACGTAACAATTAGCCTCGTATATAAGGAGACAATGGCAAACGTAAAAAACAGAGGTCAAAAATTATGATAGTTTATAGTAACCATACTATAATTTTGTCATATTTGAAATAAAGTTTGTTATATAAAATACAGCCTTTTTTATTATACAAAATACAGTTTGTTATACAAAATACAGCCTTTTTTGTTATACAAAATACAGTTTGTTATACAAAATACAGAATGATATTGGTGCATGAAAAGCATGGAGTTCAATTTTCAGAGTATTTTTTTTAATACTTGTCTGCCTATCAAAACAAGTAAAACTAGCCAGGGATAGTGGCACATGCCTGTAATTCCAGCACTTGCCATGAGTTTGTGGCCAACCTGGGCTACATAGTAAGTTGAAGGCCAGCCTGAACCACATAGCAAGACCCTGTCTTAAAAAACAAAACCAAACCAAGTAAAAAATAAGTAAGACTTATTAAGATTACTTCGGGTTGCTTTCTTGTTTGTTTCAGAACACCAAAAAGCTTTGGAGGATTTCACTCTTGAAAATATCCTTTCCCATATTTATTACTTTCGTTGTCATGATTACACAGAACTACTGGCACAAGTTTATCTCCTTCCTGATTTCCTTTCAGACCACTCAAAGGTATGGTCCAAACTACTGAAATATAACCAACCAAGTATTTTTAGAGGTATTTGATAAGCATAAAAAGAAGATATATAGCATAAAATTAAAAATCACAATCAATCTCTTGCTGCCGTACAATTTATATTTATTTTGCACATGTTTGCACATTATTCAAACTTCAATTTCAAAGGTATTTCTAAATTATCCAGGTATATATGCATATATACAGGTGGTGAAGTTTTGAAATTTAAATAATATCCAGTAAAATCTTGGTTTGTGAGCATAATTTATTAAGGAAACATGCTTGTAATCCAAAGCACTCGTATATCAAAGCAAATTTGTCTAAGAAATAATGGAGCTGGGTATAGTAAGTAGTGCATGCCTATAGTCCTATCACTCAGGAGGCTGAAGCAGAAAGATCATCATGAATTTGAGGCCAGCCTGGGCTACATAGTGAACTCAAGGCCAGCCTGAACTACACAAAGACCTTGTCTCAAAAAAAAAAAAAAAAAAAAAAAAAACCTCAGATTATTTGTTCCACAACTCAAAAATATTCACATAAAGATGACTACAGTACTGTTATATATTACAAAATAATAAAGAAAATACAAAATATAAAGAAAAACAAACAAATTAACTTGCCCTTGCCTTTGACACCTTTGTGACTGGTATGAGAGAGATAGGATTATTGAGTAGGATAACTTTCACTATCACTAATGGAATCACTGCTGTCTATTAGCTTAATGGAATCTTTTTATGCAACTTTAAGAAGGCCTTAATTGCAGGCATAGGTGGGCTATAGTAGAGTGCAAGATCCCCCCTTGGGCAAAGAATTCCCAAGCTTTATCCAGTTTGACAAATAATGGAGTTTGGAGGGGCAAGCAGAATGATTTTTTTTCTTTTTGATCTTTTTGAGACAGGGTCTCAATATGCAGTTCAGGCTGGCCTTAAGCTCACTTTGTAGCCCAGGCTGGTCTCGAACTCGCAATGATCCTCCTGCCTCAGCCTCCCAAGTGCTGGAATTACAGACGTGAGCCACCACGCCCAGCAGCAGAATGATATTTTGATATCTGATAGCTGATTGGGAGAATATTGGCGTGTGAAAAGCATGGAGTTCAATTTTCAGGTTTGGAAGAAGAACATGGAAGTCAGTGTTGAAGGGAGGTGCTGGTTGCACCACGTTGGGCCCGTGCCACACTGAGCCTGGCAGTGCATCACATGGCATCAATTGTAATATTTGAAAAAAAAATTTGTTTTTAAGGTTTTTTGAGATAGAATCTCAATATGTTATGCAGGCTAGTCTTGAACTTGTAGGCTTAAATAGTCCTTTTTGCCTCAGTTTTCCAAATAGCTAGAACACAGGTGTGGGCCACAATGTAAGGCTTATGCTTTGTTGATAAATTGTCAAGCCAGAGTATAATTTAGCTTTATTTTATTTTATTATATTTTATTTTGGAGTCAAGTGTGGTAGTGCACTCCTGTACTTGGGAGGCTGAGGCAGGAAGATTGTTGCAAGTTCAAGACCAGCCTGGGCTACAAAGTGAGCTCAACACCAACCTGAAATGCATAGCAAGACCCTGTTTCAAAAAAGACAAAGAAATGTTTTTAATTTATTGAGATTGGGTCTCAGTATGGCGTGAGCTAGTCTTGAACTCAGAGTACTCCTGCTTTAGCTTCTTCAGTAGCTGGGATTATAGGTACCTCTACATTTTAATATTTAATAAGTACTACATAAAGCATTTAATAAATTGACTCATAACTCTCCAACAGAAGCCTTTCTTTTTAAAGTTGAAAATAAAGCCTTGGGTTTTAAGATTTGTTTCTGTAATGGAATATGCTTTTTGGATGCCATTTTGATTCTTTTATTTTTAATAACAAATCTATTATTATCTCTTCCATATTTAGATTCGATTAGTGATAGTAGATGGTATTGCTTTTCCTTTCCGTCATGACTTTGATGATCTGTCCCTTCGTACTCGATTACTAAATGGCCTAGCACAGCAAATGATCAGCCTTGCAAATCACCACAGATTAGCTGTAAGTATACTGATAAGAGAACTTTATAATAAAGTCAAAAATATATAATACTAGTTTTTATGTCTAGAAGTTACAAAATACATTTTGTCTCACTAAAAGGAAATAATGCACACTTTTGAAGGACACTTAGTTTTGTTTTGGATTGGTTTCCACAAAGAATTAATTCCAGTCAGAAATATATCATTTTTCCTTAAAATTAACAGGCCTCATTCATGTTATTTTAAAAAAATGGACTTTGATAAAGAAGAATCAGATTTGGAAATTGCAGTACTTTTTCTGTCTAAATATATTGGAAGTTTTTCAGGTCCTCATTTTTCCTTTACTGAATTTTTGATCACTACATGGTACATACAGACTCAGAAAAATGATGTAAACAGCCTAGATATTCTGAGGTATAGCCAACTTTTCTAGACTTGAAACGGGAGGAGAGAAATAAACAGAAATACAGAAGTGAAGAGATAAATATGAAGTAGGCCAATCTAAGAGACACATGCCTGTAACCTCAGAATTTGAGTGGCTGAGGCAGGAGAATTACCTTGAGTTCAAGGCTACTCTGTACTACATGTGAGACCTTGTCTCCAAAAAAAAATGGAAAATACATGTGTGTGTATATATATATATATCTCCCACTCTGTAAAATTTAAAGCATACATATTTCAAGTTTTTAGATTTTTCCATAATCTGAAACACATAGTATTCTGTTTAAATTATTTCTTGCCAGTAATTATAATTTACCACTAATACCACTATCAATGAAGATCGCCCAGTAGAGGGCACTCAAGACTAATGGGCTGTATAGTTTCTTAGTTTCATTTTGTTTTGGGGTTTTTTTTGTTGCCATTACAGTTTTTGGTAACATAGTAATGGGCATTGATCCCAAGGCTACATCCTATAGCTTTTTTCAGGGTTGTTTTTTTTTGTTTTATTTTTTTTGATACAGGGTCTCTCTATGTAGTTGAGGCTAGCCTTGAGCTCACTTTGTAGTCCAGGCTGGTCTCGAACTCACAATGATCCTCCTGCTTCAGCCTCCCAAGTGCTGGGAGTACAGGCATGAGCCACCCCGCCTGGCCTTTTTTCAGGTTTTTGAGACAGCATTTTGCTAAATTACCCTGGCTGAGCTTGACCTTGCGATCTTGCAATCTTCCTCAGGCTCCTAGAATGCTAGATGACTGGTATGTACTACCACACCTTGCATTAGGATTTTAACAGAAAGAGTTTTATCTTTCTTGGTTAAAAAGAGTAGTCCAGCTAGAAGTTAGGTATAGTGACAGAGGCCTATAAACCTTGCATTTGTGGCCAAGGCAGGAGAATGGATGCAACTTTGAGGACAGTTTGGGCTGCATAGTGAGTTTAAGCCCAGCTTATACTACATAGCAAGACCCTGTCTAGGGGGGAAAAACTTATAAAAAATATGAACAAAAATTCATCCAAACAGTAACATCAAATGCCACAACGTTTTAAGAAATGATATAATTGTGAATTAGTGACATGGCTGGGCACAGTGGCATGTGCCTGTTTTCCAGCTACTTGGGAGACTAAGGCGGAAGGATGGCAAGCTCAAGGCAAGCCTAGGAAATTTAGCAAGGCCCTGTCTCAAAAAATCAAGTGGAATGTGATGGCACACACTGTAATACCAGTATTCTAGGAAGCTAAGGCAAGAGGGTAGCAAGTTCTACAGCAATTTAGTGACTTAGTGAGAAATTGTCTCAAAAAATAAAGGACTATCAATACCTCTCAGTATTAAGGTTCTGTGTTCACTCCCCAGTTCTGATCAATACATCTCAGTATTAAGGTTCTGTGTTCACTCCTAAGTTCTGTAAAACAAACAAAAATAAGTCAGTAAAAATTTTAAGTGCTAGGAAGCCAGGAGTGATAGCTCATGCGTGTAATCCTAATGCTCAGGAGGCCAAAGCAGGAGGATTACCATGAGTTTGAGTCCAGCTTGAAGTACATACAAAGCAAGACCTTGTCTTAAAAAACAAAATGCTGAGGAAATAGCTTAATGTAAAGACCCTAGTTTTAGCTCCTAATACTCCCCTCTACACAAAGAGCTGACATGGAACAAGCTATATCTAAATTATGATTAAGTAAAAAAATTGAAGCTGCTTAGCAATATATTTAGTGTAATCCAATTTTTGAGAAAAATGAAAATTACGTTCATTTATGGTAATGCATGCCTGTAATCCAGCTACCTCAAGAAGCTGAGGTAGGAAGGAGTTCAAGGCTACCCTGGGCTATGTAGTGAGTTTGAGGCTGGGTTGAACTACATAGCAAGACCCTGTCTCAAAAAAAAAAAAAAAAGAGAACTTCTGAAACTATCAAAACATGAACAGTGTTTTGACGATTTTGTACAATTGGGGACATTTCCTAGATTATAAATTATTTACTTGATTTTCTTTTCAGTTAGCATATACAAAAGCTTGTGTATCTTTTGATAAATATATTGTACAAATTTAAGTTAAGCATTCTTCTTGTAGAAAAACAGTTCTAAAGAAAAACTATATATAAAGTGAATACCTGTTAGGAATGTTTGATGTATATATATCTGTAGACTACATGCTATGCATATACAGAAGTACTTTTTAAGAAATGAGATGTTATTCATGTTGTTTTTGCAAAACAATTTTTTTTATTTTATTTAAGGAGAAAAAAAAACAAAAAGGGTACAAGTTATACAGACTTTCAGAAAAAATAAACAGTAGGAAATCACTAGTTAATTACATATTGTCATCTTAGAAATAGTTGTTGAAGTTACAAAATTAAAGCATATAGAGGGGACTTTGAAACAGTGAGACTGCAAACACTTTTGTTCAATGATCCAACAAAACTCAGTAATATGGTTATCTATCTTATACACTGAAATATATATGCAGTTATATCTTTTAGAGAACTTTCTTTTCCTTTCTTTTGTACAATGACAATTACACATTTTGGGTTTTATTACTCCCACAGTTCCTATTACTTTTTTTTTTTTTTTTGAAGCAAGTGTAACCAAATGTGACATACCAGGACAGAGTCAGTCAAATCAAAAGGATGGACATAATACATAATGTAAAAACAAAATACAAGGTGATCAACAATGGCCATACTACCTCTTGCTATCTTAAGAAGAATTGCCTAAATCATCAGTTATAATAAAATTGAACAAAACAGTAAAGAATAAGACCAATAAAACCAAAACATTGGAGACATTAGAGGACTTCAAAAGAAGATAATAGTCAACCAGAATGGGCATCACAATGAATCTTATTGTCTTCATAGTTGTTGCCTATAGTTTCAAACTTGGTACTATCAAGCATAACAGAATAGAGGAAAATCAGTCAAAACAAGATGGTGAGAGCAATACAGAGTTTCAAATCAAGTTACTAGGAAATCAAAGTGGGTTACTATAATATATCCTTCTATTTTTTATTTATTTTTCCCTTAATTAAAAGGATAAAAATGAAAAAGTAGATAATAAAAAGGAGATTGAGATAAAAAAGAGGGCATAACAACAAAACAGTGCAGGTCAAAACAGCCATTTAAGCAAAATAGTGTTTCACCACAGGATAATCTCGACATAATAGTAGTTACCATAGTGTCTCTTCCCTTAAAATCTTTGGGTATAACTTCGTATACTGTAGCATCAAACGTATCAAGACAATGTAAAACCGTTCAAGAGAATGACAGTATTACAGGGTATTTAGAATCAACTAACAGAAAATGAACAATGGTTTCTGTATAATCTCCTTGTCTATAAAAGTTTTTGTTTATATTATCACATATAATAGAATCCAATAAGATACAACATGTTAAGACCGATGGAGACAGAAGAACAAAAGCTTGATGGGATTTCAAAACAAGAGGATATTAAATCAGCACTACCTATTATGATGTCTTGTTTTCTCCAAAATGGCTGTTCCTACTATCCAACCTTCTCTGCCTCATTTCTGTTGAGCTCTGTTTCTGTCATTAGTTGTCAGTTTGTCCTCTTCATTTCGCTTTCTGCTCCATTCATTGTGGCCTCTCTGCCACTGTTTCTGGAATCTTGGTATTTTTCATTTTTAGAATATCCTGCAGTAATCTCTGTAGAGTTGAATTGGTGGTTGCAAATTCCCCTAGATCCTCTTTATCCTGGAAGCATCTTGTTTTTCCATCAATTTCTCGGGACAGTTGTGCAGGATATATCCATCTTGGCTGGAGGTTATTATCTTTCAAAGCTTGAATTATTTCCCCCCACGCTCTTCATGATTGGATGGTTTGTGCCGAGAAGTCTGCTGTAATTCTGATGGGTATTCCCTTGTAAGTGATCTGTTTCTTGTCTCTGACGGCTTTTAATATTCTGTTCTTATATTGTATTTCTGGAATTTTGATTATTATATGCCTGGGTGTAGCTCTGTTTGGGTTGTAGGTGGCTGGGGTCCTGTATGCCTCATACATCTGAGTATCTTTACCTTTTGCTAAATTAGGGAAATTCTCCTGGATTATTTCTGTGAATAGCTTTTGTATTCTGTGAATAGCTTTTCATTTGTTTGAGTCCCTACTTCTTTTATGTTCTTAATTCTTATGTTATAGATCCTCTTACCATCTTCTAGTCTTTGTATTATTGCTGTTTGTTTTCTTGTTATTTTTAAGAAGTTTTCCATTTCATGCTCCCACCTTATGAATCTGTCCTCCAGTTCTGGTAATCTATCCTTAGTTTCTTTCAAGCTGTTATGCCAGCTTTCAATAGTTTTTAGTTTCCTGGTAATCTCTTTGAACCTGCTTCACGTATTCTATGTTTTCTCTATTTTCTCCATCAAACAATTCTCCCTTTTTTTTCTGTTCTTCCATTCCACCATCTGTTTTTTCTTGGGCAGTGCTTAGCATTTCTCTAACTATTCTACTTATTTCTTGCTTTATTTCATTAAATACTTCATTCCTGAACTCGTCTGTGAGGCTCTGGAGATACCACTTTATGAATATAGGTGCTGTGTTTGATATTGCATGTTTTCTGTCTTCATTCTCTTGCATTTACCTTTCCTGCATCAGTGTTCTCAGGATTGGGGACTGAGGACCCTTTCTTATTGCTCCCTTTTCCCATACTTTTTGTTCCTTCCATACAAGCGTATGTGGGAGGCCCAGTTTTTGTTTTTTCTCTTTGTCTGTTACAATTTGTTTTAATCCGCTGGCTATGTGTTCCCGCCCACTGCAGTGTACTAGGGAGACACAGACCTGAGCAGCCTCTGCTGGGCCCGCCCCTCCAGGTCAACCTACTGAATGCTTTACTGCTAGGGTGCACCGCCAGGCGCAGGGACCTGATTTGGGCTAGCCTACTGGATCTTAGTCCATGACGTCACCAGGCCAAGCACTCCCCACCAATTGAGAGGGGAATATGCAACTAAAGTTACTGCAGGGCCCTGTTCCAGCTAGTCTGCTCATTCCCAGAATGTCCTCTGTTGGAGCCTCCTAGTCTATGAAAGGGTCCCCATTTCTCTCACTCACTGCAGGTTGATGCAGGACTTCATGCCAGTCCTGCTCTCAATGCTGTTTGGTTCGCGAAGAGCTTTCCGGCGTCTCTCTCCCTGCCGTGCAGATTGGGATGCAGTTTTGGCAGCAGGAAATTCAAATCACGGCTTCCAATGGCGCGGGATCAGCTTCCGCACTGAGATTTTATCTGTTCCTGTTATAGCATCAGGATTGCATTTCCAGTTGGTTTCTCTCAGCTTAGTTCCTTCCTGGGTCGGCAGGGTACATCCCCCTCACGTAGGACTCCTCACACGGCACCGCTCCTGGATTCTAAACTGGTAATCTCAGAGAGCCTCCGTGGCTGCTGTCCACCATGTTCTCCAGGGACAATTTTTTTCCTAATATATTGTAAACACCTTCCCATGTATACCACTTGTATATCTGTCTTACCATAACAGCTTTTGTGGTACTAGGAATTGAACCCAGGACCTTTGCACTGAGTTATATCCCAGTTCTTCAAATTATTTTGAGACAACTTTTCACTATGTTGCTTAGGCTAGGAAGGAACTTGCCATTCCTTGCCTTACCCTCTCAAAGTGTTGAGATTACAGGTTTGAGCCATCACGCAAATCAACAAGTATTTTTAAAGTACTGTAGTTCATACTTTTAAAGTGATTGTTAGGTTAATATTTTAAAAACTTGTTAAGCTTCTTTAGAAGCTTGGAGTAATCATACAGTCATTTTCATTTATTTCTATCATGGTAAACCAAAAATTTTATACAAATAGCAGAGTATAGTAATTACTTTATAAATTTTGCTATGAATGGAAAATCTAATTTTGGCATATTGAACAACCAGTTAGCTAATACTTACATGTTCGCAAAGATGTACTCTTTACTAGCACTGTCTAATTGAACTTCACAGAGAAGTATTCAATGTAGTACAATAACTGAATGGTTTTTATTGCCACTGTCACTTAAAAAACTTTTTAGTAGTACATGTTTGTGATACATAATGAACACATTCACATATACACATAACATGTCTTAATCCTTTTTGCTTCCCCTCCCCTTCCACTCTGCAGGGCATCTGAACACTTGAAATATGGCTGATGCTACTAAGTAAATCTCTAGTTTTAACTTTAAAAAACCACATCTGGCTAATTAAGGTCTATGGAACTAGACAGAACACTTCTACACAAAAAGTGTCAGCATAAGTACATATCCTACTTGGGAGTGTGTACAGTAAGAGATATTACTCAGCATGTTGGGAATGCCAGTTAGTCATACCGTTTCAGCTAATTACCAATTTAAATTCCTGCTTAGTTTGTTCTAAGATGTCTGCTGCGAGGTAATTTAAATGAAGAAGATACTATGGCACTTAAGGAGGACTAAAGAAAACGCCTGTCATCAATTCAGTGTCTGAAATCTTGATGCACCACCAACTCATTTGTAGTTAAACAGAATTTTTAGGTTGTTACCAGGCAGTAGAAACAACTAAACAGTCTTTTCTTTTATGGATTTTCAAATTTTTTTTTAAAAATCAGTAATTTGCAATTGTAACTGTCTTTCTAGAGAGAAGATCTGTACTGGGAAAATATTTAAAATAACCATTTCTGGAGAATTCTGGATAAAAAGATTCAGATCTCTGACTTACTAAATTAACCTTAAGCACTTTTGTTTACTGCGACTTTAAAATTACTGTCAGGGCTGAGGGTTTTGTTTAGTGGTAGCTTAGCATGTGTGAGTCTTTGGGTTTAATCCTGGCACACACACACACACACACAAAAAGTTTGTGTGTAAGTGGGGAATCTTTTTCTGTACGTCTCTATCTTCAAAACAAAATTAATTTAGTCTAACCTTCCTGTATCTCATGTGTAAAGATGAGATAATAAAGTATTTCACTCACAGAGTAATTGTGAAGGTTAGGTAAGATAATGAAAGCAAATTGTACTTAACAGTTTGTGGCATGTGTTAATGGTAATAAGTATTTATTACCACCAACGATGCTGTTGCTTGTGTTTTGTTTGTTTCTCTTGGCATATACAAAGTTTGAGCTTTCATTTATTTGGTTTTATAGGACAAGATCTCATTGTGTATCCAAGCCAGCCTTGAACTTGTGATCTTCTTACCTCAGCCCTACACAACTTTTATAAAAGAGAAATTTTTCCAGTTCTCTGGGTTAAGAAGTTTTTATTTCTTAGACCTTTATGTATTGCTTGATATATTTTATTCTTTTTATAATAAAAATATTTCTGCTTTTATCAAATGTTTTATAAGCAATACAATCATATTCTCAAATGATTATCTTGGTTTTTTTTTTTAGCACTAGGGATTGAACCTGGGGACTTTACACTAAATCCCCAGTTGTTTTGTTTTAATTTTGAGACAAAGCCTTGCTAAGTTGCCCAAACTGGGCTTGAATTATCTTCCTTCAACCTTCTTGAGTGCTGAGACTACAGATACATGCTGTCATGCCTGGTTTATTTTTTAAAATGATCACAAAATATTTTCTAAGTGGAGTTTAGCAGTTATAACCAGAATAATAAAATCACGGGATTATTTATTTGATAATTTTTTGGTAGAGATATTTCTAACATTTTGCTTTTGCAGGTAATTTTAACCAACCAGATGACAACAAAGATTGATAAAAATCAGGCTTTGCTGGTTCCTGCTTTAGGTAGGTAAATTAATGAGATAAACATTTCTAGTTCAATACATTTTTTCCTACCTCTCCATTTGATGCTAGTTGAATGGTATAAACACCACAAAAACAGTATCTATTTTGTCACATTTAGTTTATATATCTTACCACCATTGTATCTTTATATATCCTGTAGTACTGAATGGTCCTTTGCCTTTTTAAAGCAACATTTATTGAATATCCACTACCTTTCAACTATTATGTCAGCCACTTGAAATAAAAACATTCAAAAAATAACTTGATGTCAAAACCTCAAATTTAGGTAGGGTATATAGCTTAGTAGATGAGTATTTGCCTAATGTGTTGTAGTCCTGGATTCTCTGCCTAAGATTATAAAAAAAAAATAACCAAAAAAGAAAAGAAACAATGTCACTGTCTTAGGCACAAACATGAATCCACTTGCGTACCAATAATGTCTTAGCAAATAGCTTATGACTGTTCCTGATCCCAGCCGTGATTTTGTTAAAACACACTGGCTCAACATTTACTTCCAATAAAATCTATAAGCATATTCTATTTGCTGGGCACGATGATGTGCACCTACAATCACAGTTATTTGGAAGGCTGAGATAGGAGGATCACTTGAGCCCAGGAGTTTGAGGCCAATTTGGGCAACATATTAAAATATAAAAGCAATATTCTGTTAAAAGTTTTTACTTCTGGCATGAGAAGCCCTGAGTTCAATTCTTGGTACTTTAAAAAAAAAAAAAAGGTTTTACGTCTAGAGCTCAGAAATATGTTAGTAGGCCTGGTGATGTGGAAGACTGACAAAGACATTAACAGAAACCAGAAAGTTCTCTAAAAGCAAAAGCAGGGCCAGGTATTTAGCTCAGTGGCATAGTGCCTGCCAAACATGAGTTGTGAGTTTGATCCCTGGTACCAAAACAAGAAAGAAAGAGAAAGAGGAAAGGAAAAAAAAAAAGCAAAATCAAATAGAGGATAATTTGCACTATTTCTCTGCGTAAACTGTTAATCTTAGGGTGATATTTGTGCCGATTTGTTGAAACTAAGTACAATGTTTTTTGTTTTTTGTTTTTCTTTGAGGCACTTCTGAATTGCGCAGTGTAACCTTAAAATTGTGGTCCTCCTGCCTTAAGCTCCTAAGTACTTGGAATTATCCTCATGTACCACTGGGCCCAGTTCCAAGTATATTTTTGTTATGTTAAAGTTAGTAAAATAACACTCTTTGGTCAGAGGCATTCTAAGAAACTTATAACGTGTTAAAATAAGGAAATATACCATTTTCATGTTCTTTTTTTTTTTTTTTTTGTCAGGAGAGAGTTGGGGTCATGCTGCTACAATTAGGCTAATTTTTCACTGGGACCAAAAACAAAGGTCAGTATAGAAACAAGCTAGTTATTCCAAATGTTAGAATAATTCTATTGAATGCTTAACAGTTTCTTAGTCCTCAAGAAAAGAGGACTAGAGACATGTGGTTATATTGTTCATTTAGCTACACGGGGAATTCTTTGAAATAGTTAAATGATGGGGTACACACACCTGAAACAAGTAGGTGGCTAAGGAATGCCACCCTCTTAAGCTCTTTCAAATCATTTATTAGCCATGCACAAGGAGGTGGTACTGTATGTTCCTGGAATGAGTTGAAAGAATAAAATCAGGACAAAAGAAAAACTTCTGAGGTTAGCTTTAAGACTAATTTATGTAGAAAACGGGATGGTTTTTCTTAGTTGCGTAATGTGGTTTTTGTATGAAATTGTGTGTTTTTCTTTATATTTTCCTATCCTGCTTTTATTACCCAGTTACTTACCTGCCAACCTGTAAGTGTTGTTCTTTAAAATAAAATCATGACAGCATGAAACCTTTGTGTTTGTTTTTAAAGCTGCTGAGCAAGTGAATGAGCCAGATTCCCTTTTCTTTAAAATAGGCCATTGAATGCTATGAAGTCTTTCAGTTTATACTTCAAAAAAAGTCAGATTCATGCCAGCCTTTCTGTTCCAAGATTAATTGACATACCCTAGAGAACATAATACGGAAATGTCCTAGGTAAAGGAGGCAACTGAGGCAGTATGTGGGTACAACTGGAATAACGAGTCACCTAAATACATTGTGGACCTAGTCAGTGATATTTTTTGTCTGCATTTGTTTGTTCCATAAACTAAAAAAAAAAAAGAAAAAATCATGTACTCTTGATAAGTTAGATTTTACTGACCTAAGCTCCTAGGAAAACATGCTATTTCTCCATACATGTTTTGCAATTCAGTCATGCAGTTTGTGTCTCCTTAAGAGAATTCAGCCAAGTGTGGTGGCACATGACTGTAATCCTGTACTCTTGGTAAGACAAGAGGATTGCAAGTTCAAGCCCAGACACAGCTACATCTCCAGTCTTTTTTGTTTTTGTTCGTTGTGGATTCTTTTCTTTTCTTCTCTTGTTTTGTTTAAGATAGGGCTTTGCCATGTGGTTCAGGCTGGCTTTAAACTCACTTGCATTCTAGGCTGGCCTCAAATTTGAGGCGGTCCTCCTGCCTCAGCCTGCCTGGGATTACAAGTGTGCACTAGCACATCCGGCTCGATTTTTATTTTGAAACAAGGTCTCACTAAGTTCCATTTTAGATTCTCCTGCCGTGGCCTTCTGAATAGCTGAGATTATAGGCATGAACCATCAACCTGGTTTGTGTAATTTTTGTTGTGTGGGTTTGTTTAGGACTGAACTATATATAGTTCAGACTGAGCTCACTCCATAGCCCATGCTGGCCTCAAATGTGAAATCTTCTTGCCTTAGCCTCCTGAGGACTACAAGCATGTCCTACTATATCCAGCTACATTATGTTTTACAATTGACTTTGCTCTTTTAATTCTGTAAATAAGTCTTTGAATACAGATTGAGTACCCTTTTCCAAAATACTTGTGAACTGAAGTGCTTTGGATTTTTCAGATTTTTCCATTTGCATATTCATAGCCATTTTAGGAGTCTAATCCAAGTCTAACCACAAAATTCATTTGTTTTATTTGTACTTTATACACATAGCCTGAAGGTAATTTTGTTCAAGTTTTTAATAATTTTTTGTATAAAATAAGGTTTCTAGGTATGGAGTTTTCTACTTGCCGCATCCTGAAATTGCAAAAAAAATTCATTTTGGAGCATTTTGAATTTTGGATTTTTAGATTTGAGATCTCAATCTATTTTTGAGCAACAAACCTTATTATAAAACTTGGTACACAGTGGCACATTCCTGTAATTACCAACACTTGGAAGCCTCAGGCAGGAGGAATGCTGTGAGTTCAAGCTCATCCTGGGTTACATAGTGAAACTCTAGTTCCAAAAAAAACAATGCCAGGTGTACATGGCTGTAATCTTACCATTTGGGAGGCTAAGACAGGAGGATCTCCATGAGTTCAAAGCCAGTTTGCACTACATAGCTAGATGCTATCTCAAAAATAAACCAAAAAAAGCAAACAAAAGACTTGGTTATAGGCTGGGGATTTAGCTCAGTTGCGTAAGCACCTGCCTGGAAAGTACAAGGTCCTGAGTTTGGTCCCTGGTACCAAAAATGAAGTTGGCTATAGTTATTCAACTAAACCAAGATGTGTTGTTTTATTTTGTTTTGCAGGGCTAAAGATTGGACCTAAAGCCTTGTACATAGTAACAAAATGTTTTACTGGTACCAAAAAAATAATAATAATAGTACTATACATCGGGCATTGAACTAAGCAGCATAAGTGCTTGCCTGGCAAGTGCAAGGCTGTGAGTTTGATCCCCAGTATTGAAAGTGCTTTACTACTGACCTACATTCCAGATTATTTTTATATTATTTTGATAGTCTTGCTAAATTGTAGTGCCTAGCTTCCAATTTGTAGTCCTTCTGTGCCAGCCCTCCAAGTACATAACTAGAATTACAGGCCTGTGCCATCATACCGTGTTATCTGGTTTGAGCTGAGGTTTTGTTAATAGTACTAGAGGCTGATATGCATTTGCTGCCTCCCGTAAATCTCCATAAATTTCTCATGCTGGATAGAACTTTTAATTCTCTTGCCTCAGCTTCCCAGAATAGTGGGACTATAGATATGTATCACTATCTTATGTCCCACTCTGAGGTTTTTTTAATATGGTTTTGTATTTTGATTGTCTTGTAATGTACATCCTATTATTTAAATGTTCTTAGGAATTATTCTTGAGCTAATATGCAGTAGTAATCTACTCTAGACTTAAGCAGATACCAAGAGCATATTTAAGTACTAAAAAGAAAGAAGGAAAGGAGAGAGGAAAAAAGTTACAGGAGCAATACAAGATACTTCACCTTTTTATGAACTCATTAGAAGGGAAACTTGCCTTTGTAAAATTCTAGAAGTTAGTATTTTGACCATGATGTCAAAAAATCAAGCTTACTTTTTAAGTGTTAATTCAGAATGAATTCAGCTTCTTATAGATCTTTCCCAAGAAATTAGAGAATGGTGTAGAGCACTGTCATGGACAATAGATACATGTGGAGATAATATACAGTTCTTTTAAATTTTTTTCTAAGCTGGATGTGGTGGCACACACCAGTAATCCCAGCACTCAGGAGGCAGAAGCAGGAATATCATAGTGAGTTTGAGTCTAACCTGTATCACACAGTAAGACCCTGTCTCAAAAAAACCCAACACTTTTCCTGTATCCCAGATAACATTTTAGTGAGTGCTTGCTTATGCCAAGTATTTCACTAGGAACTTTATGTACAACATTTTAGGTAGTCTTTTCAATAATTCTTTGACTAATCTATACTTTTGATTATTAAAAATGAGAAAGACCAAGCCCCAGGAAGCAAAGCAGTGAATAATAGTTTCTATGTATTGAATACTTATTGATTGTCCTTTGTCATGGAAAGCAGTATATTTGTATGTAGTATTTCATTTTTCAGTTCTGTGAGGTAGTATTTTCTACACTTTGTATCATTCGATAGTAAAATCCATTACTTTTCTCCTATAACAGTTTCTAGAAGGTATAGTATTGCATCGATCGCTCGCAAATCTAATTCTTATTCTCTTTTATAGAAAACTTGATTTCTTAAAACTTGATTTCTCCCAGTATGTGGATATGTGATAAGGTTTTTATTTCTGTTGTACTAGGGATTTTTGCAGTAGTAGGGATTAAACCAAATGCCTGGAAAATGTTAGGCAAAGTGTTCTGCCACTGAGCTACAACCCCGACCCTTTTTTGTAATGTTTTTCATCTTTATTTTGAGATAGTCTCACTGAATTGCCCAGGCTGGCCTTGAATTTGAGATCCTACTGTCTCAACCTTCTCATACCTGGGATTATAGGCCTGTGCCACCACACCCATTCTAAAATAGTTTTTTTTTTTTTTTTTTTTTTTCCAGTTTTGGAAACCATGTGCCTTTAAGTTATTAAATGTGCATGAACTCTTTGTAGGATAGTAGGAATTGTGTTTTTCTTGGTGTTTGTTCAGTTACATGTTTTGGGATTTATGGCACAGAACATTGTGCATACTAAGCACGTGTTCTACCACTGCGCTAGAGTAGCCGCAAACTTGCATGAAATTTTACATGTGTTTTAAAATTTAGTTTGTCTTGAAAGGATAGAAATAGAAATTCATACTGGAGGGAAAATATAAAAATGAACACTTTTCATTGGAGCAGAAATGCTGAAAACCTTGAATACCCGAATTTATATTGAGACTTCAACTTAGATATACTATTATGCTCAATGCTTCCCCAGTAATAGCTGATTTTTAACCTTTGTTTAATGATGGAATAATATCCCAGAAGTTCTTAAATGCTCTTGTCTGTGTCCTTATATTGTGTGGGTTTTCCTGTGATTTGCATATTCATGATAACATGAGGCCAAGATTGTTCAGAATCTCTTTGCCAAGAAGATCTGGTGGTAGAGTGGAGTAATACATCAACACCCCCACACAGTGTCTTCTATGTGTGCTCAGCGTTAGAGCACAAATTGTGCTTCTGTGTTATTTCTTCCTGACCCAAACTATGCAGTTCAGCCATATGTTAAGCTTCATTTCTGCTGGAGCTATGAGCCAAGTGATTCTTTGGTTTAATTTTTTATTTTAGAGGTTCTCTGAAGATGCATTTGTGGTATATGAAAATTTATTAACTAGAAATATGAGAAAGATATTCAATCTGAAAACTTAATCCACCTTTGACTTTAGCATTCTTAACAAATGTGCAAATGCTTCTTAAAAGCTTATTCTTTTTAGGTGTGTGGTAATGCATGCGTATAATCCCAGCATTCTTGGAGACTGAGGTAGGAGGATCAGAAGATTGAGCCCACCCTGAGCAATTTACTGAATTTATGAAAACACATCTCAAAATAGAACCCCTAGTACCAAAATAGATATATAAATATCTAATAATTTTTAATAAGTTCCTCAGAAAAGTTAGATGCAATGGATGCCTTTTTGGACATTCTTGTGATATGAGATAATTCAGACACAAATTTTTCAGAACTAGTTAATTTTTGTTTTACTGAATCAAAAATGATATTATGCTGGTACATACTTGTAATTCTAGCACTTGGGAGACTGAGGCAGGAAGCCCACTGCAAATTTGAGGCCAGCCTATGTAGTAAGTTCAAGGGTAGCCTGCACTACGTATTAAGACCCTGACTCAAAAAAAAAAGAAAAAATTTCTAAGCCAGGGATACTGCTCAGTGATATTGTTCTACTTTTTTTTTTTTCTTTTTCCTTTTTATCAGTACCAGGGATTGAACTCACAACTGCCGGCTTGCAAGGCAGGCATTTATGCCGCTGAGCTAAATCCCCAGCCCCTACTGCTCAGTAATAGTCTGCTTGCCTAGTAGTATGCACAGGGCCCTGCAATCAGCAGTTTCAGACTCTGCGAAAAGAAGTTATTTTTCTAAAAGGCACAATAAATAACTGCCTGTGATTTTCTTTTCATATTTTTGGATTAAAGGTAGAACAGCACAATGGTATGAGCCTGTAACCTCAGCTATTAGGCACTGCTATGAAGCAGGAAGATCTAGGCTATTCTTGGTAACATAGCAAGAATTCTTTAAAAAATAATAATAATAAAGTGCTGGAGATGTAGCTCAGTAGTAGAGTGCTTACCTATAGCATGCACAGGGCCATGAGTTCAATCCCCAGTGCCAAAAAAAAAAAAAGAGAATTTCAGTCCTGAAGCATGTTAAAAATTTTATGCTCTTTTTTTGGGTTTTTTTTGTTGTTGTTGTTGTTTGGGGTTTTTTTTTTGTCTTTTTCCTCTTTATTGGTACCGGGGATCGAACTCACAACTGCCTGCTTGCAAGGCAGGCGCTTATGCCGCTGAGCTAAACCTCCAGCCCCAATTTGATGCTCTTTTAAAAAAAACTTTTTAGCTTTTTTTTTGAATCAGGGTCTTACTATGTAGTTTTGACTGGCCTTGACCTCTGTGTAGCCCAGGCTGGCTTCAAACTCAAAACCATTCTTCCAAGAACACAAATATTCTTATATTGCTTAGCAATTATTTTATTACTTAGTAGTTGAGGTTTTTTTTATTCACTTACTCATTTGTTCATTTATTAATACTTTTGAGATTGAATTCAGTCTTTACATTGAGGAATATCTGCAGTGAATTTTTGTTTGCTTGATTTGGTTTTCTGAGACAGGGTCTTGCTGTATAGTTCAGGATGGCCTCAAAATGGTAATGATCTTCTTGCCTCAGACTCTGGCGTGTTGGGATTACAGGCCTGCACCACTATGTTTGACTATCTGCAGCCTATTTGTTATTCTGAGATAAGGTGTCACCAAGCATTCCAGGCTGAGCTACAATTTAGGATCCTCCAGGCTTCCAGAATGCCGGGATTACAGCCATGAGCCACCATGCCTGGGGATGGTTGCTGCTGTTTTCATCCTGAAAGTACAAATTTAGAATTGTTTTTCTCTAAGTTAGAATTTGCACTTAGTTATATCAGTTTTTTAAAGTTATAGTAAAATAGACACACCATAAAATTTACCATTTTAGTAGTGTTTTAAGTGTACAGTATAATGGCATTAAGTACATTCATATTGCTGGGTACAGTAGGATCATTTTCACCCCACTGCCTGCTGCCTGTAATCTCAGCTACTCAGTGCCGCTGAGGCAGGAGGATCAAAAGTTCAAGGCCACCCTAGGGAACTTAATAAGATCTTTTCTAAAAATAAAATAAAAAATGAAAAGGGTTGAAATATAGCTCAGTGGTAGAGCACTTGCCTATTAGCTGAAAAGCCTTGGGTTTAATCTCCAGTATTGCAAAAAAAAAAAAAAAAGTATATTGATATTGTTGCTTAACCTTCACTACCATCTATTTCCAGAACTTTGTCATCTTCTCTTACTAAAACATTAAATAATAACTTCTCCCCACCATTTCATCTGGCAACCACCATTCTACTAACATAATTGGAATCATACACTGTTTGTACTAGTGCGATAGGTTTATTTCATGTAGAATAAGTCTTCAGGATTCTTTTATGTTGTAGCATATGTTACAATTTCCTCCCTCTTTAACACTGAATAATATTTATCATATTTGGGGGCTGGGGATTTAGCTCAGCGGCATAAGCACCTGCCTTGCACGTGCGTGGCCGTGAGTTTGATCCCTGGTACCAAAAAAAAAAAAGAAAAAAAATTCTATCATATTCGTCACATATACAGTGCACACCCCACATTTTTTTTTTTCTCTATCAATAGACACTAGGTTGTTCCTGGTTTTTTGACTATGTGAATATATTATATCTGTTTTAAAGTAATTTTTTTTTGCACCAGGGATTGAACTTACAACCTCACGCTTGCCAGACAGGTGCTTACACGACTGAGCTAAATCCCTGGCCCAAAGGTTTCTTTTTGTTAACAGCATTTGGATATACTTTATAAGAGTTTAGAATTTTATTTAACTACTTTCAGTTTTTGGTTTTATGTTATTTATATTGCATAGTACATAATAAAATTCTACCTGAACAGACCTTGTCCTATTGTGACAGTGTTTCTATTTATAAAGCCATTTTAAGACAATATTTCTTCCTTCTTTATTTTACTTACTTTTGTTTGTTTGGGCTTTTTGAGACAGGCTCCTGCTACTGTAGTTCAGGCTGGCCTTGAACTGACTATGTAGCCCAGTGATTCTTCTGCCTCGGCCTCCCAAGTCCTGGGATTACAGTCATACACACTCCCACCTTTCCTTCTGTATTTGTATGAGAATATATCCTTTATTTATATTCCAAGATATTATCTTCATATTTCTCTAATAACATAAAATAGGTAAATGCTGCAGAAAGATTGAGAAATACATATGAACAACTTTTACCTTGAAGTAACAACTTAACTATTTATTATTATTTGATTTATCTTTTTTTTTTTTTTTTTTTTGTATTGGAAATTGAACTTAAGACCTTGCGCTTCTCAAGCAGGCGCTTATACAACTGAACTATCTCCCTGAGCCTTGGTCATTGGTAATTTTTTTATTTTTTTTGGTACTGGGTATCGAACTCATGACCTCGCCCTTGCCAGGCAGGTGCTTATGCCACTGAGCTAAATCCCCGGCCATCATTGGTAATTTTTCCACACATGTTTATGCATATAGATGTGAGATCATACAGTATAATTTTGATTTGTTTTTTGAGACAGGGTGTCATTATGTAGCTCAGGCTGGCCTTGAGTGCAGTATGTAGGTAGGACAGGCTGGCTTCAAGTTTGATGTCTTCCTGTCCCCGCTTCCTCAGTGCTGGGATTGTAGGTGTGTGCCACCACGTCTGGCCAATACTTTCTTCCTTTTTTAGCACAAGTAATACCTCACTGCATAGAAAATACTTTTTTTTTTTTAGTTTTTTAGTCAGGGTCTTGCTATGTAGTTCAGTGTCACAGGCTGTCTTCTAACTTGCAGTGATCTTCCTTTCTCAGCCTTCTGAGTGCTAGGATAACAACCATGTATCACCATACTTAGAAAAAATACTTTTTTAAAGCTGCACACACAGGTGGTTATAGAACTCTAGGAGGCTGAGACAAGATTACAAGTTCATGCCCAGCCCACTTGAACTTAGCAAGAGCCTATCAAAAAATTTTTATTTCAGTCAATCATTGTGTGTTTTTGTTTGTTTGCTTTACTTTCACCTCTATCCAGTGATCTCAGTGGAAGACCTCCCATTGATAATCAATGTATTTATTTCATTTATTTATTTTTATTGTTATCAGGGATTGAACTCAGGACTGTGTGCTTTCAAGGCAGGTGCTGCTGAGCTAAATCCCCAGCCCAATCAATGTATTTATTATTGATTTGGAATTTTACTTTATATGTATAAACAACTCTATTTGTATGAATTATTAAGTGCATAAATAATAGATACTATTTAAGGGAAGGGGTTTTGTTTTGCTTCGGTTTTTTTGAGACAAGGTCTTTCTGTGTATTCCAGGCTGGCCTTGAACTATACTGTTGCACCCCAGAGTAGCCTCAAACTTGTGGCAATCCTCTTGCCACTGTAATCCTGAGTGCTGGGATTACAGTCATGTGCTACCATACCTGGTTGAGGGGGTTTTTTTTGTGTTTTGTTTTTAAGAAACTGAGTCTTACTGTGTGGCCTGCTCCTTGAACTCCTGGTCACCAAAGAGCTTTCTTCTTTAGCCTCCCCAGTAGCAGGGATACAAGAATGCCCAATGAGGGAAGTGTTTGTTTTTGCTTTTGTTATGTCTTTCTCTTCTGTGTGTGTGTTTTTTTTTTTTTTTTTAATCAGTACCGGGGATCAAATTCATGACCGCACACTTGCAAGGCAGGCGCTTATGCCAGTGAGCTGAATCCTCAGTCCCTCTTCTGTGTTTTTAAGAACAAAAGAATACAAGTATAGCAGAAAACTATAAATTTAAATTTTGCAGTCATCAAAGTTATACTTTTGTGTATATTTATTCTTTTTCTCTAAGCAGGTTAGCAACATTGTACAAATCACCAAGCCAGAGAGAGTGCACAGTGCTGTTTGAGATCACAGTGAGTATTATTTCTACGAAATGAAATTTTGATATTAGTAGGTAGTAATGATTTGAAGAAATTATTTGCACACATTGTTTCTGTTAATTTCTATAGGCCAAAAACATATTTAAGGACAACTTTGCACACTTGGAGTATCCCTAAAGTGGTCGTGTGTACAGGATACTGTAGTCACAATTAGACTAAAATATATTCTTTTTTAAAAATTTTTTTTCTTGTTTTAAATATATGTTTTGGGGGGGGTTGTCTTTTTCCTTTTTATCGGTACCAGGGATCGAACTCATGACTGCCTGCTTGCAAGGCAGGCACTTATGCCGCTGAGCTAAATCCCCAGCCCCTTAAATATGTTTGTAGTACATAATGGTTGCATTCATTGTGGGGAGTGAGTACATGTACTGTGTGTGACACATCTCAATTCTTTTTTATTTCCCCTTTGTCTCCAACCCCCTTTAAAATTTTTTTGGTCAGCATCAGATTAATTATTTTATAGGTCAGTTTTCAAGTTAATTGTCATAAACAGATTAACAGCCTGATTAAGAGTATGAAAAACCAGCAAAACATATAAGACAATTAACATATAAGACTAAATTAAGGTACATAGGGGCCAGGGATTTAGCTCAGTAGTTCAAGTGCTTTTCTGGTAAGTGCAAGGTTGTGAGTTCGATCCCTGGTATAAAAAATTAAGGTACACTTTTTGAAGCTTGTTTTTTTTCCTGACCAAAATCATTTTCTTAATTTATTAATATATATATGCAGCACATAATAGTCACAGTCCTTGTGTACTGTATGCATTCCTAGTTCTTTCTTTGCTTTTTTTTAAATTTTGAGACAAGGTCTCAATAATTTTCCCAGGTTGCTTTTGTTGTTGTTTTGGCCTTTTTTGAGACAAAAATTTTGCCACATAGCTCAGGCTGGCCTTGAGCTATGTAGCCCAGGCTGGTGTTGATCCTCCTGCCTCAGCCTTCTGAGTACTGGAGTGACAGGCGTGCACCACAATGTCTGGCCCTGGCTAATTTTGAACTAATGAGCCTCACACCTCAGCTTTCTAAGATCGTAGGACTGTAGGTGTGCGTCACTGTGTTTGGTACCTAAGATTTTTAAAGTTAAAGTTGGAGATTTTCAGACAGGAAAATATACCAACATTGTTGGCTCTGTGGCTATTATAAATGTATCATAGCCACCAAATATAGCACTCTTTAAAATGTTAATTTTTTTATGAATTTACATCATAGAACACTCCCTTGTGACTGAAATATATATTTACAAACAGTGTGGCATCGTGTATATGTTTTAAAAATTGTGTTTTATTTTAAAGAGATTAAGACAAAACAGTATATAACAAAGCAGATCAGAACAGAACAATTTAAGCAACACAGTATTTCACGGGAAGACAACCCGTAGTTAACAGTAACTACCATGATGTCTCTTTGTTTGAAATAGTTGAGCATAACTTCATATATAATAGTATAAACATAACAAAATAGTATAAAAGCATTCAAGAAAATGAGAGTATTACAGGACATTCTGAACCAGATAACAGAAAACAAACAATGGCTACTACGTTATCTCATTTTCCATAGAAAGTTTGTTTATACTATCACACATAACACAGTCCAATAAGATACAACAGGATAGAGCCAATAGAAACAGAAGAGCAAAAGCATGGTAGGACTTCAGAGTAAGATGATATTGTATCAGTACTGACTATCATAATGACTTGTTTTCTTCAAAATAGCTGTTCATACCATCACAGATTAAAAAAATCAAACATAACAGGATAAACCCATTCCAACTAATGAATGCTATCATTATAAGGCTTCAATGCAATGTAATGGGGAATCACGATTACCATAAACTCTTATGTACTCATACTATTTCTTACAACTAAGGAGACTGGTATTTATACATGTGACTTTATTTCACTTATGAGTATGGTCTCAAGTTGCACCCATTTCTTAGTAAACATCTTAATGTGATCATTCTTTATATCTGAGTAGTACTCCATTGTATAAAAATACCACAACTTTTTTATCCATTCCTCAATTAATGAACACTTGGATTGTTCCCAAGATCTCGCTATTAAAAATTGTGCTGCTATAAACATAGGTGCACATATATTACTGAGGCATGATATTTTCAGTGCTTCTGGGATATGCTTAGAAATGGAATAGCTGGGTCGAATGGGACCTCAAATCCCAGCTTTTTGAGGAATCTCCAGACTGACCTCCACAGTGGTTGCACCATTCTACCCTCCCACCAACAGTGCAGGAGAGTTCCTTTTTCCCCCACAGCCTCTCCAGCATTTGTTGTTGGTAGTTTTCTTGATCCTGGCCATTCTTTCTGGAGTGAGATGGAATATCAGTGTGGTTTTAATTTGCATTTGTCTAATGAGTAATAATGATTATTTGCCATTTGTATTTCTTCATCTCAAGAGTGTGTATTCATCTCAGATGCCCATTTTTGGACTGGGTCTTTGAATTTTGGGGGGTCTGATTTTTTTTAATTCTTTATATGTTTTAGACAGCAGTCTTTTGTCTGAGGGACAGTTCACTAAAATTTTTTCCCAGTTTGTGGGTTTTCTTTTCACTAGGTTGGAGATTTCTTTTGATGTGAAGAAACCTTTTACTAAGACGTGATCCCAGCTATTGATTCTGGGAAGTATTTCCCCTGCAGTTTTTTTCCTGTTCATGAATTCTCTACCTATCCCTATGTCTTCAAGATTTTTACCTACTTTAGTTTTTCTGTTATAATATTCATGTCTTTGATCCATTTAGATTTTAGTTTAGTACATGGTGATAGGCATGGATCTAGATTTAGTTTTTGGCATATGGAGAGCCAGTTTTTCCAGCACCATTTATGAAAGAGATTGTTATTTTTCCAGTGAACACATTTGGCCCCTTTATCAAAGATTAGGGGGTTGAGTGTGTTTGTAGTTGTGGTTGTATCTTCTAATGTATTCCATTGGTCTTCAGGTCTTTTTTGATTCCAGTACCATGTGATTTTATTACAGTAGCTTTGAAGTATAATTTCATGTCAGGGATTGTGGTGCCTCCTGTGTTGCCTTTGCTGCTTAGAATTGCCTTTGCTATTCTAGGTCTCTTCTGGTTCCAGATGAATTTTAGGAGTGATATCTCTAGGTATATGAGGTTGTGTTGATGGTATATTCATTGGGATTGCATTGAATCTGTATAACAATTTTGGGATAATGGCCATTTTCACATTATTTATTCTCGCTATCCATGAACAAGGGATGTCTTTCCATTTCCTGAGATCGTCTTCAGTTTCTTTTTTCAGGGTATTATAATTTTCCCTGTATAGATCTTTTACTTCTTTTGTGAGATTAATTCCTATTTCATTTTTTTGGATGCTAGTGTGAAGGGTGTGGCTTCATTTATTTCTCTCAGTGATTTTGTCATTAGTGGATAGAAATACTATTGATTTTTTTTTTTTTGTCTTTTTCTTTCTTAGCGGTATCTGGGATCGAACTCACGACTGCCTGCTTGCAAGGCAGGCGCTTATGCCGCTGAGCTAAATCCCCAGCCCCAAAATGCTATTGATTTTTGAGCATTGATTTTGTATCCAGCTTCCTTGCTCAATTTATTTATTATATCTAAGAGTCTTTCAGTGGAGTTTTGGGGGTCTTCTATGTAGAATATCATATCATCTGCAAATAAATGATAATTTAACTTTCTCTTTTCCTATCTTTACCCCTTTTATTTCTCTCTTGTCTAATTGCTCTAGCTAGTATTTCCAGTACTATATTGAATAGGAGCAGTAATAAGGAAAATCCTTGTCTTGTGCCTGATTTTAAGGTAAAGTTCTTCAGTTTTTGGCCATTTAATATGATGATGGTTTTTAGTTTGTCATAGATGGCCTTAATCATATTGAGGTAAAACCATCTATTCCAATTTTCTGTAAAGTTCTTATAATGAATGAGTGTTGGACCTCATCAAAAGCTTTTTCTGCATCTATAGAGATGATCATGTGATTCTTACTTTGATATGGTGGGTTACATTTATTGATTTATGTTTGTTGAACCATCCCTGCATTCCTAGGATGAATCACACTTGATCGTGGTATATACTCTTCTTGATGATTTGCTGCATTCTGTTTGCCAATACTTTATTGAGGATTTTTGCATCCGTGTTCATTAGGTAGAATGGTCTGTAGTTCTCTTTTTCAGTTGTGTCCTTCTCAGGTTTTGGAACTAGAGTTACGTTTGCTTCCAGGAATGACTTAGGAAGAATAACTTCCCTTTTGATTTCATTGAAGAGTTTGAAGAGTGTTAGCATTAAGTCTTCTTTGTATTTCTTGTAAAATTCCACAGTGAATCTGTCTGGGCCTGGGCTCTTCTTTGTAGGTAAGGACTTAATTACATTTCCAATTTCATTAATAGAAATTGGTTTATTCAGCAGTTTTACATCTTTTTTGCAGCATGGTACTTCATATGTTTATAGGAATCTGTCCATTTCTTCTGTGTTACCGAACCTATGAGATTAGATATTTTTGAAATAGGTGTTGATGATCCTCTGTATTTCCACAGAATCTGTAGTGATTTTGCCTTTTTCTTTTCTTTTTTTTTTTTTTTTTTTGTCTTTTTCATTTTTATCGGTACTGGGGATCGAACTCAGGACCACCTGCTTGCAAGGGAGGTACTTATGCAGCTGAGCTAAATCCCCAGCCCCAATTTTGCCTTTTTCATTCCTTATTGCATGAATTTGAGCTTTTTCTTTCCTTTTTTAAATTAGGTTGGCTAGGGGCTTATCAATTTTATTTATTCTTTCAAAGAACCAACTCTTTTTTTGTTTTTTTTTTTTTTTAATCAGTACTGGGGATCGAACTCACGACTGCCTGCTTGCAAAGCAGGTGCTTATGCCGCTGAGCTAAATCCCCAGAACCAACTCTTTGATTCTTTGATTCTTTCAATTGTTTTCTTAGTCTCTATTGCATTGATTTCTGCTCTTGATTTTTATCATTTTCTCCCTTCGTTTGGCTTTCGACTTGACTTGCTCTTCTTTTTCTAGTTGTTTGAGGTGAAGCATCAGGTTGTTTATTTGAATTCGTTCTGTTTTCCTAATGCGGGAACTCAGTGCAATAAATTTTCCTCTGAGGACTGCTTTCATTGCATCCCACAGATTCTGGTAAGGTGTATTTGTATTTTTGTTTGCTTGTAGGTATTGTTTAAATTCTTTTTTAACTTCCCCTGTGACCCACAGATTGCTCAAGAGTGCATTATTCAATTTCCATGTATTCGTGGGGTTTTGCAGTTTCTTTTATCATTAAATTCTAGTTTCATGACGCTATAATCTATATGCAAGGGATGATTTCAATCTTTTGCATTTATTTAAGTATGTTTAAATATTAACCCAAATCTTGTGGGTTAGTATGTGGTCTGTTTTAGAGAATGTCCCATGTAACACTGAGAAGAATGTATATTCTGATATTGTTGGATGGAACATTCTTTATATATCTATCAAGTCCATTTGTTCACAAGTGTGATTCAGTTGTTATTTCTTTTCTGATTTTCTTTCTGGTTGATCTGTTCCGGTGTCAATGGTATGTTAAGGTCTCCTTTTACAATTGTGTTATTGCTTATCTGATTTTCATTTCTATAAATACTTGCTTCGTATAACTGGGTGCTCTGGAATTTGGTGCATATATATTTAAGAAAGTTATCTCTTCCCATTGACATTTTCCCCTAATCAGTCTGTAGTGACCTTCTTTATATCTTCGGATCATTCTTGAAGTTCACATTGTCCACAAACAATAACAACACCGGTTTTTGGCGGGGGGTTACTGTTGCATAATATATTGTTTTCCATCTTTTGACTTTCAGTGTGTGATTATCCTTTTCAGTTAGATGAGTTTCTTGTAGACAGCGTATGGTTGGATTTTGTTTATTGATCTATTCTGCCCGCCTGTTTCTTTTAATTGGTGTATTGAGTCCATTTACATTAATGGTGATAACTGTCATATGTTGGCTTATTGCTGACATGTAATCTTTCTGCTGTTGCATCTTTATCTTTCTGTTCTGTTTAATTGTCTGCTTTGCTTAGTGGTTTTTTCCTAAGTATATCTAATCTGTCTTTAGTATTCTTTGCAGGGTTGGTTTGGTGATCATGCAGTTCTTCAGCTTTTCTTTGTCATGGAAGTATCTTATTTTTCCATCCATTTTGAAGGACACTTTTGCAGGGTACGTCAGTCTAGGTTGAAAATCATTCTCGTTTAGGATCTGGAAAACTTCACTCCATGCTCTTCTTGACTTCATTGTTTGTGTTGAGAAGTCTGCTGTGATTCTGATAGGCATTCCTTTATAGGTGATCTGTCTTTTCTCTCTGACAGGTTTTAGGTTTCTATTCTTATGTTGGATTTCTGGGATGGTGATTATTATATGCCAGAGTGTATCTTTATTTTGGTTATGGCTATTTGGAGTTCTATATGCTTCACTAATTCTAATGTCAGTTTCCATTTTCATGTTTGGAAAATTTTCATCTATGACTTTTGTGAATAGCCTTTTGATATCATTTGTACTATTCCCTTCTTTTTTGTTAATCCCTAACAATCTTATGTTGTTTTTCTTTGCATCATTTTGCAGGTGTTGAATTGTTATTTCCTGATTCCTTGTTTTTTAAAAAGATCTTTCCTTTCCTGTTCACTAGCTGCAATCTTGTCTTCAAGATCTGAAATTCTATCTTTACTCTCGTTGAGGCGGTTTTGAAAACTTTCAATGGAATTTTTGATTTCCTGTATGTCTCTTTGAATCCATTTTTCTATATTTCTGTGTTTCAAGTGTTGTTCCAAGCCTTCCCCTGGGCGTATTGGTAATTGTCTCCTATGTCCTGGACTCCTGGGACTCCTCTAGTGGCATTGCTCCCTCCTCGGGCAGCGTGGCCCCCGGATTAAAAGAAGGCTACCAGGCACGGCCCAGGCAGGGCCAAAACCCGCCAAGCCCAGTCTTGTGTGGCCGCAAGCCAAGGGGTCCCCAACCACCTGGAGCAAGAGTCTCAACCTTTCTTGAGGCACAGATGGTATGCGGGCACCCACCTCCTCAGGTGGCGAAGTTCTCCTGGCTGAAGAAAGGTCGCAGCCGTGGGCTAGGTAGGCCTCTGCAACGCAGCTCCCTCTTCCTGGCGTCGACAGTGGCCACAAAGCTCCCCGGACTCGCATCATATATATGTTGGCATCTCATTTTGTAAGGATGAACAGGAGAGATTCTGCAACTGAATTAGCCCATTAAGGTTTTGCACTGGACTAGGTGCAGTTGATGTAATTTATTGATAAATTTTTATTAGGATATTTTAATTATGAAAACAAATTTTTAATGTACTTAATTAGTACAGATTACTTTCTTTTTTGGCAGAGCTACCATAAAGTTTGTTAGACTTATTATTACTGCTATCATTATTATTTTGTCTTTTTGAGACAGGGTCTTGCAATGCAATTCAGTCTGACCTAAGACTCACTTTGTAGCCCAAGCTAATCTCGAATTTGCAGTGATGGTCCTTTCTCAGCCTCCCGAGTGCTGGGATTACAGATATAGGTTACCACACCAAGCTTTTTACAATTATTAAGCAAATTTTTGTTTTTGTTTTTTTATATATTTGGGAAGAGAATGTTGCTGAGCCCCACTCCTGAACTACACTTCCAGTTCTAGAAGGCATTTGATAGTGTATGTTACTTTTATGTGTATATATATTAGTATAAATAAAGATATACTTGTGAGAGTCAGGCATGCTGTAATCCCAGCACTTTGGGAGATTGAAAGTTTGAGCCAATTCTGGGCAATTTATCAAGACTCTCTCAAAATTAAAAATTAAAATAGAGCTGGTGATGTAGCTGAATGCAGAGGTCCTAGGTTCAGCCCCAGTTGTAGAAAAGAAATAAAAGTGTATGTAAAATACTTTTATACAACTGTAATTTGGGCTAAACAAATGATTTAGCTGCTTCATTTTGTTTGATAAACTATCTTCAGCACAAAGTAGCTTTCATATTTATTGCTGAAAAATATTTGGAAGAGCCAGGTATGGTGGCATGTGCTTAAAATCTCAACTGTCTGGGAGATGAAAGCAGGAAGATTGAAAGTTCCAGCCCAACAGGGCAACTTAGTCAGTTAGCAAGATTTTGTCTCAAAATAAATAACAAAAAAAGGGAAAAAAGGAAGACCAGTGTTTATTTTAAATGTTCTTAAAGCATATTTGTATTTTTGTTCATCTTGCAGCCTCAGGGATTTAGAGATGCTATTGCCACCGAGTGTTCTTTGCAAACAGAAGGTTCATTGAATTTCCGGAAACGGTCACGAGATCCAGATGAAGAACAATAATCCCAAAAGTAATCTCAGAGTATGGAAATATATTTACATTGTAAAATTCACAGTGTGCAAGTAGTATAATCATTATTGTAAAATACAAAAATAAGCTGGGCATGGTGCTACACTCCTGTAATCCCAGCATTCAGGAGACTGAGGCAGGAGGATCATTGCAAGTTTGAAACCAAACTGGGCTACAAAGTGAGCTCAAGGCCAGCCAAGAATTCCATAGCAAGACCCTGTCTCAAAAAGACAAAATAAAAACACATTGCAGTGTGAACAAACAAATCAGGATTACATAAAATTAATAGAAAAAATAAGGAATATGATTTTCTGAAAAAGCTTTTCTAAAGCAGTTTTCTAAAATTAGAGTTTGCTGTATTTTCATTTTCAGTCACATTTAAGAGAGGTGATAAATATTCCAAATGTGGCAAGGTAATCTTATGTGGTCAATTTGAATTTACTATTCAGACCAGAAAAGTTCTTTGCCCGTTAGCCTAGATAATCCTAGGAATATATTTTTTTAATTCTTTTTCTTTTTTGCTGGTTTGTTTTTTGGTTTTTTTGAGTCAGGGTTTCCCTATGTAGTACAGGCTGGCCCTGAACTCACTATGTAGCCTAGGCTGGTCTTGAACTTGCAATGATCCTCCTGAGTGCTGGGCTTACAGGTGTGTGCCACCACAGCTATAGTAATTTATTATTTATGAGATACTTTTACATCATTTTATTTGGTCCTCCTAGCAACTCCGTAAGATAGAGGTGATAGGCTAGTCTGTTTTTCTTTTCTTTTTTTCTTTTTATTTTTTGTCTTTTTGAGATGGTCTCACTATGCAGTTCAGGCTGGCCTTGAGCTCACTTTGTAACCCAAGCTAGTCTCAAACACGCAATGATCCTTCTGCCTCGGCCTGCTGAATGCTGGGATTAGGCATGCACCACCATGCTCGGCTATGAATAAATATTTCAAATAAGATTTAGGGTAAATTTTGTTCTCAAGTAGTCAGATAAAAATAGTATTTCTGTTTGGTCATGCACAGGATGGCATTTTGGAGCACTTTTTAAAGTTATACTCTTGGTTTTTATTTTTACATTTTTGTGCTCATTTTGGCAGCACATATACTAAAAATATTGGTATATTTTTATTGTGGCAAAATAGTTTTAACAAAATTTGCCATTCAAATCATTTGTTAGTGTACAAAGTTAATGTTTATTGTATTCACAATGTTATGCAACCATTCCCACTTTTTTGTTTTGATTATTGGGAATCGAACTCAGAACCTCAGGCTTGCCACTGAGCTAAATCCCCAACCCCTACTATTTATTTTATTTTATTTTTTTTGAGTTAGCATCTCACTAGCTTGCCAAGTTGCTCAGGCTGCCTCAGCCACCAGGCCTTAATGCATTAATTTCTAAAACTTCATCATTCCAACCAGAAACATTAAGCAGTAACGCTCTGTTCTCTTTCTGCCCAGCCACTAATAATTTCTCATCTACTTCACATTTTTATGAATTTGCCTATTGTAATTCATATAGGTGGAAACATACAGTATCTTTTCTTTTGTGTCTGGATCATTTCACTTGGCATATTTCTAGTACATGTGCTGCTGAAATGAGCACTTATTTGGCATATTTGTAAAGTTCTTCTAAATTGTATCATATATAAGAAGTCCACTCCTTTTAATGTTTTTGTTGTTGGTGGTGTTGTTTTTGATAGGGGAGTTGAACTCAGGGTCTTGTACTTGTCAGGAAAGTGTTTTGCTGCTGAGCTATATCCCCTGCCCAGTCCATTCCTTTTAAAGGCTAAATATTCCATTTTATGCTTATACTACATTTCATTTATCTGTTCATCTGTGGATAGGCAATTGGGTTATTTTAAAGTGTTATTTGTGGGTTTTCTTTTTTTATACCGGGAATCAAACTCAGGACCTTGCATTTGCCAGGCAGGCACGGTGCCACTAAGTTATATCCCCAGCCCTGTTTTTGTTTTTTGAGACAGTCTCACTGCGTAGCCCAGACTGACCTCAAACTCATGATCCTCCTGCCCCATCTCCTGTATGCTAGGATTACAGGTATGATTGACCATACCCAGCTTTTTTTCCCCCTTCTTTTCTCAGAACTGGAAACAAAACCCAGGGACTTACAGGTGAATACTACAGAGCAAAGCTACATCCCTAGCTCTTTATATGTTATTGTGAAACTAGGTCTCATTTGCTGAGGCTGGCCTCACACTTGTAGTCCTCTTGCCTCAGCCTTCTGAGTAGCCAGGATTACAGACTTCTGCCACCATGCTCAGCTCTAAAGTTTTTTCTCTTGTTAGTAATATTCTGACTAAAATGTTTACAATTTGTGATAAAATTAGAGGTTTGGGAGTTTTTTTGTTGTTGTTTTTACAGTGGGAAAATTTTATTGAGGAGTAACAATGGGGACTAGGCATAGCTCCTGAGAGACAGGAGAGGTCTCAAATGGGTTGTCCCAAAACTAATGTGATAGAAAAATCTCAAGACAAGAGTTAGAAAGCCTCCATTCTAATTCTTGTTGTGAGATTAACAAGCCACATTAGTTCTGGCACCTTTATTTTCTTGTGTCATTATTTTATTTTTAAAACAAGATCAGACTACATGATTGCTTAAATCCATTGCTCCATGCTCACCTCGAGTGTGCAAAGTCAAGAATTTACTTAAAATGATCAGTTCTGAAAACAGTGAAATGTTTGACATTTATACATTTTTATTTTTAAGATCAATAATGCTAGGGTTCCCATTTTAAAACATTGCATTTCAGTTTTGAGACACACTGTTGAAATGTTCTGTTGCTTTAAAAAAAAAACCATTGAGTTGCAGAAGAGAGGCTGGCTGTTCATAATATGTATTTTTAGTTAACATCAGTGCCTAAATTTACTGTTACTGTTAAAATTTACAGAACATTTTGCTCCCTCAGAACTGATTTTGCTATAAAACATGTTGACGTGATTTCATGTATTTTTGACCGAAGTATATTCCTTTGCCTATTTTCCATTTTAGTTTACCATTAACATAGCCCTTTCTAAGTTTCATTCATCTGACTTTCAATATGTGTAGTAAGATGTGAGTTTTTAAATTAAAGACACTATTACCTGTGACTTAGGTGTAGTTTATTTTATGAGGACATCAAAGTTGGGCTCACTTAGAAGGGCTTGAGAATTCATGGAAATTATGTCTTGCCTATTTTCAAAATACAAAACTACAAGGTAAAAGACAAAAGTCACATATAGGAAAACTTACATCAAGAATTCATATAAATCAAGGCTCAAAGAAAAAACAAAGCTTGATTGATTATATAACAATTATTGCTATGTTCTTTTAAAAAAAAAGGTTAACCAGGCAAAGTTTTCGTACACCTGTAATCCTTGTCGTTGGGAAGGCAGAGGTTAGAGGATAACGAGTTCCAGTCCAGCCTTGACAACTTAGTGATTGAGACCTGGACTCAAAAAAAAAAGAGCTGGAGGTGTAGCTCCGTACAAAGACCCTGGGTCTAAGCCCTAATACTACCGCCCGTTTGTTTTTTTCTCCTGCTTTTTAAAAAAATTTGTGAACATTTATTCATTTATTTATTTTGCAGTACTTGGGATTGAATTCAAGTATTGAACTATAGGGCTGGGGATTTAGCTTAATGGCATAAGTGCCTGCCTGGCAAGAACAAGGTCATGAGTTCAATCCCCAGTGCCGTGAAAAAAGTATTGTGTGTCCCCTGCCCTTAGTTTTTGAGAGATGGTCGAGGTAGAATTTAAACTGAGACTCCTACTTTCGCCTCCCAGAGTACTAGTTGTATGTGACCATGCCTGATTGATTGATTGACTGATTGTCTTTTTGAGACAGTCTCATTATGCAATTCAGGCTGAACTTGAGCTCACTTAGTAGCCCAGGCTGGTCTCAAACTCAAAACAATCCTTCTGCTTCAGCCTCCTGAGTGCTGGGATTACAGATATGTGCCACCATACCTGGCTTTAATTTTTTTTAATTAAAGAATATTCATACAGGATTTAAATTTTAGAAACACTAGATTTTAAAAGTCGATGAAAATTATTTACCTTCTGTCACAATCATTCGTTTTCTTTATAGGAGGCAACAGTCATTAACAATTTTTGATAGGATCTTATAGAGCTATTCCATGTAGCTAAAATGTTACTTTTATCCAACACCTTCTTAAATAATACACACATACCGTTCAGCACCTTTTTATGTAAATACATGTAGAAATTTTTCAGTTAAATTGCTGTGGAGCATTCCATTGAATGAATGTACTGTTGTTTAATCACTCACATATTTAGGTTAATTCAGCCTTTAATGAAGATATAAAGAATTGATATGAATATATACATAAAAAACCATTTGAGTTTTTGCTGAATTGTTCCCCAGGAAGATTGCTAGCTTAGACCTTATGTGGTTTTTGAGAGTAGCTGTTTTTCAGTGCTCATGACATGTTATTTGGTTGTGGTTTTTTGGTTGTGGTTGTTTGTTTGTTTTTTGGTTTTGCCAGTTTATATTTTCTTAAGAAAATACATATTTTTGGTTGCATTAGACCATCTCAACTTGATGTCATTAAATATTTGAATTGTAATGAACTTTTTATCTGATTGCATGTGTATTAATTAACAATCTGTTGGTAATTAGATCTCCCAATTAAGGCCAGATCGATGCAGATGTCTCAATGGAGTTAATAGCTCTACTGTAAATTCTTATGTTGTTTGCCCTTGTGGTTTTTATATATTGGATTCTTACAGACTTGTTAGCACTAGTTAATATCCATCCATATAATTAAGTTTGGAACACACATTTCAGAGGTTTCAAGTTCAAGTTGCTGAACTTTATCCTAAATTCATAAACTAAATGTTGCTATGGTAGTTTAAAACAAATTCTTTGGGGCCTGGGGATTTAGCTCAGTGGCATAGGTGCCTACCTGCTAAGCGTGAGGTCATGAGTTTGATCCCTGGTACCAGGGGGGAAAAAAAAAAAAAACAAATTCTTTGGTACTTCTCCTGTCAGATGGGGTATGTTATGTCCTTTTCAGTCTAAAGAGACCTATTTATTTACTGCTTTAACCAATAAAGTACCATAGAAGTAATGATACTAATTTAAGAAATTAAGTTCTAAAAAACTATGTATCAAGTCTGGGGATATATCTCGGTGGTACAGCACCTGCCTAGCAAGTGGAAGGTCCTAAATTTGATTCCAGGTACCAAAAGAAAAACAAAAAAACTATCACTGAGTACTCACTTTTTTTGAGAAAGACTTGCTAGCCTTTTAGGCTAGCCTTGAACTTGTGCCTCCTGAATGCTAGGATTACAGGTGTGCACCACCCCGCCCAGCTGGAATACTCACTTTTGAAGCCCTTAGCCACCATGTAAGAAGTCTGCTAAGACCATCATGTTGAGTTATATGCAAGCGTTTCAGCAATACAGCCCTAACTCATCAACTACTAGCTTAGCAATACAGTGAAATTAGTATCAGGATAAATATTCACGTAATAGTCTTTCTTTACCCTTTCTGTCAATTTAAATGAAAAAAGCTTTATACATCTAGCTCAGTTAAATCTTTAGTTTTGTATCCCCAACTGGTATCTAGGGGCAACCTTTGATGCCTGCAAGTGAGACCCACCAGTTTGAGCCAAGAGCTGTGAAAAGTAGATTAGCTAGTTTGTTTTGCAGTAGTGATAACTGGCACAACCACATGAGAGCCTCTCTTGAGTGAGCTGCCACATCTTACCAAACCATATTCTTCAGGTGCATTCTTAGAATCTCAGACCTTATCTCATGCCTTTTTAGCTTCTTCTTTTCAACCTTATTCTCCCTGATACCATTCTTTCCTGTACTCTTCTTGGCTCACTGCCCAACTGATTCCAGCCTTTAATTTCTCTTCAGTCCATCTTGCATTCATCCGAAAGAATATTTGCAGTTAATTTTTCTTAAAACTTGTTTCTTTCCACTTTGATACTTGTTTCCCAATATTTGGAAAAAGTAATTACAATTTTATCTCCCTAGGTCTAATCTTAAAACATTGGTGCATAGGCTTAATACTTGAGTCATGAAATTAGCCAAGAATAGTGCCACATGCCTTTAATCCCAGCACTGAGGAGCCTGAGGAAAGAAGATTTCAAATTCAAGACCTACTTGGGCTACATAGTGAGTGAGTACAGGCTGATCTACATACCAAGCGTCTTATCTTCAAAAAAGAAAAAAAGTCATGAAATGGTGTGTATTTCCAGAGATAAAAAATTTAAGACTATTCAAATCTAAGGATATTTGAAAAATAATTTTATGTGTGAAAGGACTACATTTAATTTGTATACACATTTTGATTTTCTACCTTTATGCACATGATTGCATGTGTTATTTTAAGTATATAGAAGTTCATCAAGTGTTAATCCTTAGTTTTCAGAATTACTGGAAATCATGTGCTATATTGGTGCCAGATATGTCATTTATAGATCACTTTTTCATAAGGCAGCAAACCATTTCATATGCCCAGATCACCTCCTTTCTGGAAAAGCTGCATTGTGTCAGCATGGTTACCATGTGTGGTAATTGATAATGTCTGTGCCACTTGGCTTATTTCTACCCTGGTCCAACACAGCTATTCTACCACCTATGATTACCATATGTTACAGCACTCTAGGTTAATGGGATCATTTCCATCTTCCCTTCTAGTCACAAATGTCACCATGGCTCAATTCCATCAGCTCAACTGATAATAAAGTATTCAGTACTATCTAAGCATAGAAAATACCGTTATGAAGAGTTTTTATATGTAGTTACCTGTATCCTTTTTATTTAAAAGGTTTTTTATTTGTTTGTTTGTTTTTGAAAGGGTCTTGCTTTGTAGTTCAGGCTGTCCTTCAACTCATCATGTAGCCCAGGATAGCCTTCAAGTTGAGGTGATCCTCCTGCCTCAGTCTCCCAATTAGTATTATAGGTGTGTGTCACCATGCCCGGCTTCTTGTTTATTTTTTTAAAAAGCAGCTTTTATCATTTGTTTCTCTTTGTTTTTTCCTGATAAGGTTTTATTAAGTTGTCTCGGTTAGTCTTGAACTTTTGATTCTCCTGCGTCAGCCTCCCAGGGTGCTGAGCTAATAGGCCTGTACCTCCAGACTTAGCCATCTGGCTTTTTTTTGATGAATGCTTCAAGTTAGAAGTAGGCATCTGCTGACAAGAAGAAGGGTACGATCAATATTCTGGATTTTTACATGTGCTTATCCTAAGCAAATATAAAAAGATAATTAAAAATAAGATCATAATAAAAGTAAAAATTTTACCACTATGTGAAGCACTTTCTGTTTTTTGTAAAGTGAAGACTAGTAGCAAAATGTTGACGTCAGTTCACTCTAGAAAAGTCATTATACAAGGAATATGCCGCATGTTACCATTTATAGTACCATCATTAAATTATCATCAACCCCTACTTTAATCCTCTTTCGTATGGATGTCATAAAATAAGTCCAAAAATAATTTTGGTTGTTCAAAGAACTCTGCTAGGGAAAAAGATTGTTATTAATGGTTAAAACATGAAGAAAAATCAGAACCCATTTTAGAGACTTAATACTTCGCCTGTTAAAACTGGTAAAATTTACTGCATGTGGACCTTTTTGAAGTGAATTTTAATTTTGATGGCTTTTGACTGCAGCTACAATATGACCCTATAAGGCAGTGACAGAAAGAAATAAAAAATTATTATAGCAGTTATGTTTTGGCAGCAAATGAGGATGATTTAGAACTATATTGTTGATCTGGAAAGTAGAAGAGGAAGTTACTATTTGAAAACATTTCTATGTGCTCAACTTATTTAGCTCTCAGGTAGTCTTGTTCCCTGCTAGTCAGCTGGACAACGCAATCAGATTAATATTTTTAAGCTATTTATATAATCTATCCTTTAATTAAATTCCTTTTTCTTGTTTTGCTTTTGGTGGCACGAGGTATTGAACCCATAGCTTTGCATATGCTAGGCCAAGTGTCTTATCACTAATTTGTATGAGTGGCCTTCTGATTCAGTTTTTAAAATAGAAATTTACAACATTTTTTTTTTTAATATTGGCCTTGGGAATCGAACCCAAGGCCTTTTGACTGAGCTACATCCCCAGCCCATTATATTTTGTATTTTGAGACAAGGTCTTGCTAAATTATCCATACTGGTCTTAAACTTGTGATCCACTTACCTTACCCTCCCAGAGTGCTGGGCTTCTATGTGTGTGCCACCATGGGTGGCCAAAAAAATTTGTATTTATTTATGGTATTGGAAACCAAACTCAGGACCTCTCGCCAGGGAGCACTGAGCTATATCCCTGGCACTATTTATTTAGTTAAAAAAATACATATTTTTTTAGATTTTATTTTAACATTTATTATTAGACATACCCTAAACGTATGAGTAGATCTTGATTGATTTTATATATATAATTATGATTTCTTAAAAATATACTTCTGGGAGCTATGGTATTAGTTTTAAATCAATTTTTTTTTTTTTTTTTTTTTTACAATTAGCAGTGTCAAGCTGAGCATGGTGGTACAAGCCAATAATTCTAGCACTTAGAAGGCTGAGTCAAAAGCATCCCCATGGCTTTGAGACTATTCTGGGTTTGAGGCCATGCTGAACTATATGGTAAGATCCTGTCTCAACAAAACAAAAAACAGAAACAATTAGCAATGTCAAAATTGAGGGGAGTTTTTTTAGACAATACTTTCATTTTTGCCTAAAACATAAAACAAACATTTTAAAATAGTTGAAATATTCTAGATTTCTAAAACCAAGCTAACATTAACTGGAAATAGATTTGAAAGTTAAATATTTTTCTTAGTTTTAGTCATTAATTATCTACCAGATATTTTAGGTTTTAGCTTTTTTTTTTTCTACCGGGAATCAAATTCATGACCTCGAGCTTCACAGGCAGGCACTCATGCTGCTGAGCTAAATCCCCAGCCCTTATTTTAGCTATTTTTGAAAACTATTACAACTTTACTTTGTACTGGGAATTGAACTCAGTACCTCGTGCTTGCCAGGCAGGCCCTGTGCTGCTGAGCTATATCCAGCCCTAAAAGACTATTTTTTAAAAGCAAGTTTAAGTTTATAATAAAGTTGAGCAGAAAGGAAAGAATTCCCCATATATGTTCCCTCTCTTACCCCAGTTTTCCCTGTTATTTGCATTTTGCTTTAGTATGGCACGTTGGTTATAATTGATGACTCAGTATTGGAATCTTATTATTAACTAAAGCCCCCAGTTTCTGTTAGAATTCACTCTTGTACATTTTATGAGTATATTGACATGCACCCACCATTTGAGTAATACTAAATAGTTTTTACCACCCTAAAAATTCCCTATTCTTTGTGTATCCCTCCCTCCCAAACATTGGCAACGTATCCTTATTTTAGAAATAACACTAATGCTTCAAGTAAACTCAGTGTCCCAGGAGCATCTTTAGAGACCTAGATGTACTTTAACTTCACCTTAATCCATTTATAGTTGTATATAATCTACCTTATAGTTCCTTAATACATATTACCATATCCATCAGGATCTGGTTAAGAAAGTACAGAAGTGGGTCTGGGGATGTAGCTCAGTGGCACAGCACCTGCCTGGCAAGCACAAGGTCCAGAGTTTGATTCCGTTACCCCTCACCCCCCCAAAAAACTGAAAAACTTCCAATGGCTAAAGTGCAACAATTTGACAGAAAAAATAAAATACGTGGATTATGACCCAAAACATAAATATTCATGAGTCCAAACTAATATAAATAAGTGATTAAATATATTTTTTAAATACAGAAGTGATGGTTATGAAAGTGATGGAAGAGCTAAAAAGGAAGGATTATTTGGTTTCTAAAAGGAAGCTGCAAGTTGCTATCATACCTAAAGGACAAATATAGGAAGAAGATGTTTCTAGAGCTTGTGCCTACGTCACTGACCAAAGCTGGAATTGCAGTGGACACATTCAGAGGGAGCAAAGCTACAAATGAGACTTAGTAGACCTCAGCCCTGTGATAGGGAACAGTGCCTCAGCCAGACCCTGTCACAAAATAAATACAAAGCACTGGGGATGTAGCTTAATAGAAAAGACCCAGGATGAATCCCAAGTCCTGCAAAACAACAGCAGAAGAAAACTGTAAATGTCTGTGTACAAGTTTTTTTTTTTTTTTTTTAGCTTGGGTGCACATGTTGGACATGTTTTTTGTTTTTATGGGTAAGTATCTGAGAGAGGAGTTGCTAGGTCATCCAAGAAATTGCAAATGTAACAATTCTTTTAAATGTTGTAAATATTATCATGAATGTCCATGAAAGGACATGATCCGTTTTCTTAAAAGAGCCAGAGGTTAGAAGGACAGTATTTGTATTTTTATTTTTAAAACAGAACAGTGATACAGAATTTCATAACAACATGAAATTAACACTAAGTAATATATTGTGTATTGTTATCTTCACAGTAGTTGCTGAGATTACAAGATACAGGCATGAAAAAATGAATGTGAAAGCACTGTCCTTTTTGATGAACTAACAGATTAGTATAGTTACATATCATGTAAATATACATATACGAATAAATATACATATAAGGACATAGAAAAATCTTAGTAATGTTAAATATCACTGATACACCCTATACATAACTCGACTTATTTTAAAATAGGGGACTAAGGAGAGGAACTGAAAAGGAAAGCAAAGAGATAAAAAATGACTAAAAAGACTTGTCAAAGGAAAGGTTTAATTTGGCTCACATAAAAAGATGATATTAAAAAGAAAGACTTAATAATGGCAGAATCATCCTACACACCTGCACTGAATTTCTGTCAGCAACCTTCTGGCAAAGCTACTTTGTCAAATGGATTCGTTAGAATCTATATTGATCTTTGTGAAAGAATGTCTTTATTAATGTCAGCAAACATGCCTCATAGTAATGTAGAGATGTGGGCTTTTTCTTTTACTCTTAGAAGTAATGTTTTACCAACATAGATCATTTCCCTTTGATAATGTGGGTTGAGTCAGAAATTAATGTCACAAATAAATGTCATCTAGATGAGGGAGGCAACTACATTATGAAGTAGGAAGGTGTAGCTTGATGTGAATTGTTTGACAGCTATGTACTCTTGAACAAAATGTCAGCATGTCAAGTTCTGGGATATTAACCATTGTGCGAATGTAAAACTGTGGACATTTTGATTTGCAGCCTAAAAAGTTTTGTCAGTCTTTCTAAACTTGAAATGGAAATGAGCAGGTGTATTGAAAATAAAAACAAATGACTTTAAAGGCTTTCTTGGCATCTCATAGAGAAGTTGCTTTACACTGGTGATGTTTTAAGCAAAACACATAAATACATTTAGCATGTCTGGAAGCAGACTTACTGGGTCTTTCCATTTACCTTTGAGAAAAAAAGTTACACAACTCAATTGCATTACTCATGTACACTTTCTATCATATATTATTTAATCTCAAGTGAGGGAAGAGCATAGAACTATTTTACATGATGCCATAATGCACATTAGTGAGCTCAACTCACTTAATCTTAAAATAACAGTATCAGGTCAGGGATTTAGAATACAGTATTATATGAAAATAGTTGGTGCAGAGTTCTCCCTCTTCTGCCATTAATAACTGACTGAAAATGGTATTTCAGACCCTAAATTCAACTGAAACCTAGAAACACTAACTGGAGAGGATGGGGTAGATAATTTGAAAGAAGACATTTTTCAAAGAGAATCACTGTTTTGCTGAATTACATGTTGCCATGGACATGGCAGTATGCAATAATTTCATCTGAACAGCTGTATAACAACACAGCTTTACCCTAGTCCACCCCTCAGTGAGGTTTGGAAATAATAGGTTTGTGTGTAGTTTGGTAAAAAAAAAAAAATTAGAATCATTTTATTTCAGTTTCAACCTAAGAAGGAAAAAAAGATATGGGAGAGGATGAAAAGCAAATGAAATACTATAGAAAAAACCTACATGCAATACAGTATATATTTTATGGAGAAACTCAGGAGAGGAGTGTTGGTGTGATGGAGAACCAATGGGTGAAATTTACTGAATCTCAGACATGAGTAGAGTCCATGTTGCATCACTTGCTTGTGACCTTGAACAAAGTCATGGTATCTTTGGTATCTTTAAAGCTTCCTTCCCCCACTTGTAAAATAATCACATTGATAATATCTATCAAAAGGTTGTGGTAAAGTTGAAAGGGTTGAGAACAACTTGTAAACTACAAAGCCCTATACAAATAAGGCATTATGTGAACACAACACACTTCAGTTTTAAGAGGCAGAGGAGAGTTAAGGGGAAAGTGTGTAAAAGGTGTTGCGATTTAATTCTAACCAGGAATTTAATTCATGGAAGTTTTGAAAACTTAAAGCAAGTAGTTTATTCTTAATTTTTTTATTTCTTTGAGAAATGAGTTTAATCAAATGAGCGAACCTATGTAAAGGAACCTCCCTGCAGGTGTGTGTTTGGGGACTCCCCTCTTCTCAGCTATTTGTTCAATGAGTGTCATCAACAAAATCTATTCATAGTATGGTATCTTTCATCCTATACGTTATGAACAAATAAACTTAAGTCAATGGAATCAAGCGAGAACCAATAGTTTGACTGGGAGATACCTTCATAACGTTGAGACTAGGGTCTTCACCCAATAAAGACATTCAGAGTTGGAGAACAAGCATGTCCTGTGTCCTACGACTATGCAGACTCTAGGAGGACCCTGAAATTCTTAATTAGAACTGGTTGTCATGGCGACGGTCTCCAGGCAGCGTGGGTTGAGCTCTCCGCAGGGATAGAAGGTGGGCCGCCCGCTGGACCCTGCGCGCGCGCTCGCCACCAACTTTCCCTCTAGACCCGAGGGGCAGCGCGCTCTGCCCGGGGCCGCGCACGTCCGCCCTCGGTGGCGCGCACGCCTACGGGAGCCCTCTCCAAGCAACCTAGTGCTGATCGCTCTTGCTGGTGCGGCTGTTAACTACCGTAGCGGGAGCCCCAGGCTCAGAAGCAGCCCCCTCCCCTTCGTGGGCTTCCCCACCCTTTTCCCGGTCGGCCTCGGGGCATGAGCAGCGATGGCCGGCTGTGGCCCTGAGGAGAAAACTTACCGGCGCTTCCTGGAGCTATTCCTTGGCGAGTTTCGCGGACCGTGCGGCGGCGGCGACCCAGAGCCGGAACCCGAACCGGAGTGCGAGCCCGAGCCCGAACCCGAACTGGTAGCCACTGAGGCGGCAGAGGCTTCGATCGAGGAACCCGGAGAGGAGGCAGCCACGCTCGCTGCCACGGAGGAGGTAGAGCAAGAGCCAGACTCGGAGCCCGAAGAGGGGGCGGTGGAGGAGGCGGCGGCAGCGGCGGCCGAAGGCGAGGGGGAGGAGGAAGCAGCGGCGGCCCCGAGGCACTCGGCCGTGCCACCACCGCCGCAGCCCCAGCTGCCGCCGCTGCCCCCACTCCCGCGACCGCTGTCGGAGCGCATCACCCGTGAGGAGGTGGAGGGCGAGAGCCTGGACCTGTGCCTGCAGCAGCTCTACAAATAGTTAAGTAGCGGGGCTTGGCGGCGAGGGGTGGGGGGAGCGCTGTCCCCGTCGCGCTGGCCTCGGACTAGACCCTCTCGGCCCCTCAACTGCTGATGTGCTCTCTACTCCTCACCCCCGGACCTACCGCTCCTGGGGGCGCCTACGCCCGCCGTGGTCCTCGCGCCTCCTGCCCGGCCCTCCCGCGGGCCTCGGCCCTTTCTTCCCTCTTCCCGCTGGCCGCCCGCCACTTCCCACATCGTTTCCCGTTCCTGCCACGGAAGCTCTTTCCTCCCAGTCTTAAGATCTGTCTTTTTCCCTGTTCCCTTCTATTCTGGAGGTTTCCTCCCAATCTCCTTGGGTCTTTTCCTGGACTGGGTTCCTTGTCTGGCGGCATGGATGCGACCCCTTTCTAGACTGTGCTGAGATGCATCCTGCGTAATCGCAGCAGTGATAATACCAGCCCCATATCCTGAGGAAGAGAGACCCAACTAGGTTTTCTGCCAGGCGCTCAGTGTGCAAAGTGATCTCTTTAGACGGCTTAATGCAAAGGGGACTAGTATTTTAGTTGAGACGTTTGACCGCTCATAACTGAGGGAAGTGAAAAGGAATTGGGAGGGAAGGGTAAGTAAAATTTTTAGCAAGTAAACCTTCAGGTGAAAAGCCAGAGTCGGGTAATTCGTTAAAGTGGAAAGTAGGCTGCTTTGATCAAATTGCAATTAGGTGCAGTATTTTCAGTCCATTAAGTACATGGGGTGGGAGGTGGGGGAAAGCAGATGGCTTAGCTACATAGATGAAAGTCTAAAATAGAAAGGTCAAGACTTTGCCTTTCATCTCAGTTCTGGCTTTTATGAGCTTAAAATAGAAACGGTTTACAACTGCATGTCTTTCTAAATGGAATTGTTTAGAACTAATGACTGGAGAATAATAAGTCTAGAAAATATTGATAAACCTGAAAATCATCTGCTATTTAGCTAATACAGTAGTTGTAATGAAAGGTGTTACTCTGACCGCTCAGAAAGTTTACCTCTGCAAGATTCACTGCAATTAAGTTCAAAATTACTTCTGGGATTTTCTCAAAAGCCTAAATAAGTGAAAGGCCTGGAAAATAAAGCTGCTGTGTCTTCATCCACCCTAACAGACGTCCGAACAAATGATTCCCCTCTTAAAGCAGCGTCTTATCAAAATGAAAAAGCATTTAAACAATCTAATGCAGTGCTTTGGTGTCTCACTCTTTATTAGCTATCTAAAATTTTATGTAAAGTATAGTTCAGTTACCAAGAGAATAATGCTTTTTGGAAAATGTAAAAAGTAAAATGGCGTGTAATAACACCACCAGGGATAAACAGCCTTAGCGTTTTAGAATATTTCTCCTTAGTCTTTGCAAACTATCATAGAAAGGGCTTATGAAGTGTCATTTTTTTACATTATTTAAAGACATTAATGTGTTCTCCTTAAAATAAAATGGAAATATTTACACAAGCCAAGGAATTTATCTTAGCATCAGATGAATACTGTACTATTTTCACACAATTTTTTTTACCTCAACTAATGCAGTTATAGAATTCAAGGAACACAATTTAAACATTGGAGAATGTTCAAAAGAGGAAAGAAAGTCATTAGTTTGGTACAACCCTGTACATTTGCCATTAAATAAGATTGGTTTTTTTTAATGAAACCTATATAAAAATGATGGTAAGACAATGTGTTTTTTCATGTAAAAGAGAAACATTAATTTTGATGCTCATATAAATTGGAAAAATCATTCAAATGACAAAGTGTCATAAAGTGAAATTCAAAAATTTGAGTTTGAAATAAAATTAAAGTTAGAATACATGATTTCATCATAAGTCCAAGGTTTTATCTGCTGACTTCATATAAAATCAGAAATTTCAGACTTGTACAGATACCATTTATGTATTTTTATTCAGATATAACATGGCTGGCTTGTTTTTGTCAGGTAACTTTAACCAATCTTAGCTGGTCAAAAAAGTTTTCAAAGGTATACTTTGACTCTTTTAATTTTTATTTTATTTGTAAGAGAACATCTGAATTAGTTTGGAAGAATTAATACTGGAAACCTGTGGAGATAGATCATTTGTCCAAAAATTTCATTTTATAAATTCAGAAAAGACATGAAAGTGATTCCAATATTTTTCAGAATAATCTCTGAACCGCAATACTGATATAGTTGTAATATTGCTTTCTTAAATTTCCTGGGAAATACTCAGAAATAATTCTTTTTTTTTTTTTTCGTTTTTGTTTTATCGGTACCGGGAATGGAACTCACGACTGCCTGTTTACAAGGCAGGTGCTTATGCCGCTGAGCTGAATCTCCAGCCCAGAAATAATTCTTAATACAAATATGTATGCTGGAATTGCTTGTGTAGGGGAAATGATTTTTCCCCCTAAATAGTTTTGCAAATACCCATCAGTCTGTTTATTTTGGGAGTTATTAATAATCCTAAAAATTGTCAGTGAGCATGGTGATGCATGTCTGTAATCCTGGGACTTGAGAAAAATGTAAAAATCAAACAACATAGAACAGAATAGAACTAGGAGGTTTACTTGTGAGTTTGAGGCTAGCCTGCACTACATGAGTGAGTTCAGGACCAGCCTGCACTACATAATGAGACCCTGCCTTAAAAAAAAAAAATTGTCTGGGGCTGGGGATTTAGCTCAGCGGCATAAGCACCTGCCTTGCAAGCAGGCGATCATGAGTTCAATCCCCGGTACCGATAAAAATGAAAAAAAAAAAAAAAAAAATGTCATACTTGGGTTGGGAAAGTGTTTGAGCAATGTAAGACCTGAGCCCCATACCCATACAACACACATAAATTGTCATGCCTGTCAAATGGTGCTAAAATTCCTGAAATTGGGCAAAAAACAACACTGTATTTAATAATAGTTTTATGTAAGTTCTCTTTCTAATGTAGTTTTTTTATCAGTGTTTCAGAAATATATATGGCTGTTCAATGATATACTGACTTAAAATTTTACTTTGTTTGCTGGAGGGGAAATTCAGTGGTACAGTACTGCCTAAATTTTTTTTAACTAAAAAAATGTAGTTACATTTTCTCAATATTTTGGAATAGGAACAGCTTTGCTTTTTTAATTTTTTTTTTTAACTATGTAGTTTAGGCTAGTCTTGAACTCACTTTGTAGTCCAGGCTTGGTCTTAAACTCAAGTAAGTTCTCTTGCCTATCCTTCTTGGGTGGATGAGATTGGCCAGGAATAGCAGGTTTAAAATAAACAGTTATTAAGTTGTTTCTTTGGCTTTTTGTTTTGTTTCTTTTGATTTTTTGAGTCAGGGTCTCACTCTATAGTTTAGGCTGCCCTTAGACTCCTCCCTTAGACTTCAGCGTAGCTGAGATTGCAGACCTGTGCCATCATGCCTGGGCAGGATTGTTTTTTTTTCTTTTTGTGGGACGGAGGATTGAACCCCAGGGCAAGAACAGGTGTGCAAATGTTCTACTACCGAGCTATCTCCCTATCCTAATTATCAAAGCTTACATGAAAAAAGTTATAATTGACAATTTAAAAGTTTTTCAAGCAAATTAGTGAGACTTTATCTCAAAAAATAAAAAGGGCAAGAGAGATCCTGTGTTTCAATCACTAGTGCCACACACACACACACACACACACACACACACACAAATTAGGGTAAAAGTTTTTGCTTCTCTACTTTTAAATGGGACACTTATATAGGCCTCTGCTACAAAAAACGTGTAACACTTTCAAAGAATAAAACGTCAAAAATTCCTTTGAATGAAGGAGACCTTTGGGGCCAGGGATATAACTCAGCACGGCACAAGTGCCTGCCTGACAAGTGCGAGGTCCTGAACTCGATTTCCAGTACAAAAAAAAGAGCTGTTGCGGACTGTGATTTTTTTCCTCAGGTGCTGGTGATTGAACCCAGAGACTTCCTTATGCTAGAAGAGCATAAGCTCTTCTGTAGAACTGAGTTACAACCTTAGCCCTATAAATACTTTTTATGGAACCACAATTTCATTTCAGTCTATTAACTCTCAGTAATCAATGCAATAGTTTAGAACTATTTTGAATTTCCTACTTTCCTACTTGTTAATAAAAATTAAGTGATTTGGAATCTTCAGCTGGTACTAGAAAAATGACCTATGTTTTACTCTTTCTTCTAAATTTAAATGTCTCTCAAGAGATTAAAATACTTGTGATGACATAATCTTAGGATTTCTGAGGTTGATGTGAGAGACTGAAAAAGTGGAAGTGGAGCTGGGGATGGTAGCTTATGACTGTAATTGCTGCATTCGGGGAGTTAAAATAGGAGGATCACTGTGGATTTGATACCAGCATAGGTGGCATACACAGTGAGTTTAAGGACAACCTGGACTATAGGGACATACACACATACAAAAGAAGTAGTCAGATATTTTGTAGCTTTCAAATAAAAATATATAACTGATTTTACAGGTATTGTGAATATAGAGGTACTTGTGAAAGTTTGCAGATCAGTACTGTAGGTTTTTTAAAAAATATTCTTTATACAATACTGGGGCTAAATCAGTTTTAATCTAGAAGAAACATACTCTGAAATCTTTTTTAGAGCTCTGTGTCGTCACATTTTCAGAGCAGTTGTTTCCTCAGTTATTCATTTAGTGTGGGATGGGCTTCCCAAGGGGAGACAGATATCCCAGCAGGCTGGCAAAGTTAAGTAGCTCCAGATGGTTTGCAGTAGTATTGAGGATGGCACTTTAAAAATGACTTGGAAAAGAAAACCATTGGTTATAGATACTTATATTTTAGTTACGTTGAATCCTGTGAATCATGAATGACTGGGATAGGTCATAAAATCATTAAGCTTTGTCTTAGTTTTACATATATACATGAAAAATTATGTATGTATAAATCACATGTATCACTCATTTTTAAATTAAACTTTTTTGTGAATTGTGCTCTGTATTCCCAGCTTCTGGGGAGGCTGAGGCAAGACAATTCTAAATTCAAGGCCAAGGTGGGCAATTTAGAAAAAGTCTCCCGACTCCC